ATTTGAAGCCAAAGCGCCTTTCACATGGACACTTCTCGAACGCATACCCCAATGCCATTCTGTTGACTTCGGTGTGGCCTGAGACGGAAAGCAAACTCAAAGCCTTCAGTTTTTAAGCCTCGCGTGCCGCAAGCGCCGCCCTGACACGGTTTGCCGGCGTGGTGACGTGCGCACAAACCTTTCTATATGGTCCCAGGACAGAACGGATGCAAGGCAACGTCCCCCAAGAAAGCCCTCAAACCCTGACCAGTGCCCCAGAGCAAAGGATGCGCAGTAGGGACGACACCGGAAAACGCGCGTGTCAGAGATGGCACAGCTCATCTTGCGGAGCTGCCGTGGAATGTTAAAGCAACTACATGCCCCTCCGCTGCATGGGATGTGAAGCCATTCTGAGACCCGGCGCTTGTGTTTCGCGAACTGGCATCGCGGGCTGCCGAAGACGCTGCCTGCAGCGCAGATGCCAGAGGGTTCAGAGTTCAGGGCTCAGGTCTGGGTTGCTTTGTTCGAGGGCATACCGGAACTTTGCAGGGCTTGATCAGGGTGTTGCACCGTGCAGAGAGGCCCGTGTACCAAGTGGCACGCGCCGCTTGCCTCAAGTTGCCCTCCGTTCTCCGATCTCTGCTGCCACTTCGGATCCCGAAGCCTGAGAAGCGTCTCCAACCAGCCAGCGTTTGAGCCTGGGAAGGCTGTGCAAAGTCTATTTGGGGCGATGTGTGATGCGAACTCGGTTACAACGCCTCAAAGAACTGCGTGTCTGCGCACCGGTACGCATTACATGCCCCGGCATCGAGGTTGATGTCACTCTCCGCTTTGCCACTTTGTCATGTAGCCGCGAGCGTACATAAACAGTTCCGGGCCCCTCACCCATGTGGCCCCTTTCACAGTTTTGGTCTGAAGTAGACCCTTCAGGCCCTTCAGGGTACAGCGCGGATGCTTCCAACAATACTGCAGACGCTTCGAGGGTTGAGGGCTAGAACTGGGAGCTACCAGACCCTGCAATCAGGAGGTTCAGGGTAGTCCTCGCAACTCAGCTGCCTTAGCAGGTTTGCAAGGGGCGCCGGCAGCCGTGCTGGCCCAACGCGGGGTGTAGCGCAAGAGAGGCGAACTTGATCTGAGCTTGAGAGATCTTCACATTGCTGCGCACTTCGCGCCTACCTGAAGGCGTCGTGGCATGTGATCTGGCGAGAGCTTCGCTGAAACCTTGCGGAAGGCTGTCCTGAAAGCACGTGAATGCTTTGCCACCGGCCCTGCCAGGAAAAAAGCTGTTCGCAAGATGGCCTATCCGCTAGATTGCATCAACGGTCCCGTCGCACGGGTCTCATCCTATGCGCAGGCCTTCCTAACAGAGTCAGTCGACGTGTGCTCGTTGCCTCATGAGGCCCGTGCCTCTCAACGTGGACGCGTGTTGACATCTGCAGCCCGAGAAAAAATTTGAAGCCGAAGCGCCTTTCACATGGACACTTCTCGAACGTATACCCCAATGCCATTCGGTTGACTTCGGTGTGGCCTGAGACGGAGAGCAAACTCGAAGCCTTCAGTTTTTTAGGCTCGCATGCCGCAAGCGCCGCCCTGACACGGTTTGCCGGCGTGGTGGTGCGCGCGCAAACCTGTCTATATGGTCCCAGGACAGGACGGGTGACTGGCGCAAGCCTATCTGTGCCCGTGTCAGTTTCAGGATGTCGGGAAGGTAAGGATGCGCAGTAGGGACTGCGGCAAGAAACGCACGTGTCAGAGATGGCACAGCTCATCTTGCGGAGCTGCCGTGGAATGTTAAAGCAACTACATGCCCCTCCGCTGCATGGGATGTGAAGCCATTCTGAGACCCGGCGCTTGTGTTTCGCGAACTGGCGTCGCGGGCTGCCGAAGACGCTGCCTGCAGCGCAGATGCCAGAGGGTTCAGAGTTCAGGGCTCAGGTCTGGGTTGCTTTGTTCGAGGGCATACCGGAACCTTGCAGGTTTTGATCAGGGTATTGCATCGTCCAGACAGGCGCATGTACCAAGCGGCACACGCCGTTTGACCTCCGTTCTCCGATCTCTGCTGCCACTTCGGATCCCGAAGCCAAGAAGCCTCGCAAACCAGCCAGCATTTGAGCCTGGGAAGGCTGTGCAAAGTCTATCTGGGGCGAGGTGTGATGCGAGCTCGGATACTGTGAGACGGCGCAACGCCTCCAAAGAACGGCGTGCTTGCGCGCCGGTACGCGCAGCAATGCATGCGGGGCATCGCGGTTGGTATCACTATCCGCTTTGCCACTTCGCCATGTAACCGCGAGCGTACAAGAACAGTTCCGGGACTCTCACTCATATTCTGCCCCCTTTCGCAGTTTTGGTCTGAAGTAGACCCTTCAGGGTACAGCGGTGACAACAATACTGCAGGACTCTCGAGGGTTGAGGGCTTGACAACACTGTCTCGATACCATCCAGTACTGAACGATGAGAAGAACTCTCCGACGTCTTTCCCTGCCAAATCCGTACCTTTGTCCAACCTCTCACCCCTAAACCCTAAACCCCAAAACCCTAAACCCTAAAACCCTAAACCTTAAACCCTAAACCCTAAACCCTAAAGCCTAAAGTTCGGTTTGGAAGGGAGGACGCCTTGCCGCCAATCGGTGCAAAGCCGGGCGCGCAGCCCACGTGCACTTCTTTGGGATCGCGAGACATCGAACGACATCGCGATGCATTCGAACAAAAAATGCGACCAATCAGTGTTCTTGGATCCTGTAGTTTATGGTAGCCTTCCTGCAGTTAAGCTGGCGAACAACAAGCATAATAGCTGCAAGAACCAGACGAGTACTGGCAATAGTGTTAGGAATGTGTTAGGAGTAACAAGAAACATGAACATATTCATGATGGCCGCATCAGCGATGGCTTTCGTTTCTCACTTGTGACCTTTAGAGTCGTTAGAGTTGAGGACAATCTTTTCTCCTGTTCACTCATCACTTTCAAAGCCTCCTCATGGAATGACGCCCAGCTCTGTCAGCATGTCCTTGTAAAAAGTTGCAAAGTTGGGTTTCCCAAGATTCCGTGATCAGATCCTGGTGTAGCTTCGCATGCACCTGTACCATGTGTTGGTTGTTCCCAAAATTATGGTCCCTTTCTTCGTACTTTGCATAAAGGGTACATTGTAGGTACCCCAATGGGACCCGAATCTAGGGAATGCCATATCCTTTATCCTGCACGCCGCCATCTCCAGCCGCGCGCCGTCTGCCGGCATGCCATCCCATGGTTGCTATGTGTCTGCTTGTGATGCTGGTGAGTGAGGGTTTAGGGTTCAGGGTTTAGGGTTTAGGGTTTCGAACGTGGGTTTCAGGTGCAGGGTATAGGGGGAGTGTGTCACACAAGGCACGGCGCACGTCAGTACCAGAAGACTCATCACGGCATCGCAGCATCACATCATTGGTTGCGTTGAAGGCCAGGCCGGCCATCGCAGCACAAACGCCGCACCCTTGTCATGCCCGCTGGCGATATTGAGCGGCCGAACGCGTTTAAAGCCTCAATCGGCCGGGGGGGGAGGGGGGGGCATAGGCGTGGGCGCGATCAGTGAGTGGAAGAGCAGTGCACTTCACTGCAGTAGCTCAGTCCGCTCGAACAGCCAGGCACAGACATGTAGGGACACCAGCGGCCTGGGACCCATGCCCTCTCCCAGAGTCCTCACAACACCCTAAACCCTAAACCCTAAACCCTAAACCCTAAAACCTAAACCCTAAACCCTAAACCCTAAACCCCATTTATCTTCCCACAGCTGTGCCAGGTAAAGCGCCTTGTCCTCCCCGGCCGAGCAGCGCCGTAATATCGCCAGGTCCTGCAAGGCCTGGGGTTTGGGATTTTGGGTTTAGGGTTTCGGCTTTGGGGTTTCGGGTGTGGGGTTGAGTCGGGTTGTTACTGAAGGACCGTTTGGGGCTTTGGGCTTACGGGCTGTTTGGGGTCTAGGTCGAGGGTTTGGGGTGTAGGGCCTCAGGGGCGGACAGGACCTTTAGGACTTTAGGGCTTCGAACACGTCCTTGGCGGCAAAGAAAGGGGTTTAGGGTTCAGGAAACACCGAGGCCTGAACAAACCCTAAACAAACCCCTAAAAAGGCACCCCCCCCCTAAAATCGACCCCCCAAAGTCGTAGGGCTCCTTTATAATAAGGACCCCAAAACGGGTACCCCCCCCCCCCAATATCGTACAAACCCCTTAGTTTGTCACCCTCGGAGGATGACCTGCAAGGGCCCACAAGTCGAGAGTTTCGAAGATCGCGACTTCAAGCTTTAGGGTTTAAAGTTTAGGGTTTATGCGTTTCGAGAGATCCCCAATAGCTTGCCCCACGGCTAGGGTGGCGAAGGTGACAAGAGTTTCGCGAGTCAAGGCTCCTCATGATGCGAGTTTGGTCGAAAACGCGCGCCGTGCCATGGCGGGAGCCCCGGAACCCTCGGGCGCTCTTCGGCGTGCGTGCAACCTAATCCCTCTACTCCGAACATAAGAACCCCGGACCCCGGAGTGTTATCGCGCCGAACATGAGAGCCCCAAAGTGCTATCGCGCTGTTCGGGGAACATGGCGCTGTTTAATGTAGTATCAGAATTTTCGAGAATAGTCCAACAATGAACTAAGTATGAATACGGCATTGATGGTGCCAACATTCAGATGCCATGGCATCATCAGCCAGTTTGCAGGTGTTTTGCAGAAAGCCGTTGCGTCGACGTAGAATCAACCCAAACGGTTGAAGCGCAAAACAGTGTGTTGATGTAATATTCGGTTTACATGAAAAGCCAAGACACATTCAAAGTGTTCAAAGTTCAGACACAGAATGGATCTTCAAGTTGGTTCTGTGTTAAACAGGATATGGGGTTCCGATATAGGGGTACCTTATTGGGGTCCTTGGAATACGGGGGTCCTACTATTTGGGGGCCTATTTTAGGGTCCCCTCTTTTCGTAAACCCCCATATGGTTGCGGAGTGTGATGTGACTCCACAAGACGTTTGATCTCAAGCGGCAGCGCCCCCAATGGACGGCATTGCAAAGCAATGGACGGGCAACGGGCGCTGTCTCGACAGAGTTTTCACACATTCAATGAGCTCAATCTCAATCTCGGGCCACGGCGAATGCATACTTTTCGCATGGACACTTCATGGGAAGAGCGAATGCGTTGGGTGCTTGCTGCAATGGTCTTTGGCATAAGTGTTGCTTTCTTGGTGATGATGATTGTCTTGGTGCCTCTTCCTCACGACTTGTTTGTTCCTCATTACAGTCCTTCCCAGCTTTCTCCTTATGACCATTTCAAAATGGCTGCGGCAGTGGTTATGATGCAGATCACGATGCCTTTCACATGCGTGATGATCTTGCGCAGCCATGCCCACTGTCAGCGTGACACCATGTCTCTTCTGATCACGATGTGGCTGGCCGAGCTGGCCCTAGCAACTGCGCACATCTTGCACTTCAGAGGCTTCAAGTTCTCCTTGGAGGTGCCATCAGTTCTGGCCGGTCTGACGGCGGTTGGGCTGAAGCTGAATCACATGCTGATCAACATGCTGAAGGACTGTAAGGAAGTGCTATACATCGATTTCCGCATCAGCTGCTTACAGAAGCTTCTTCGCATAGAGGTCGGTGTCGTCATTCTACTGGTCATGTTGACCTTGTGCGATGCCGTGTTTGAGACTGGAGATGTGTTGCGAGTAATGGGAAGCATCGTAGCTTGGGTCCTCATTTCCGGCGGCATCCATTTTGCTTGTGCATTGGGCCGAGAACTCGGGCGTTTATCGAGGACTAGCGAAAGTGCGAAGATGACGAAGGACTTGGCAGAGCTTTCTGATGTCTGGAGAGCAATATCGAAGATTCGCTTATACAATCGGATTGTCTTGCTGCACTGCGTCCTGAAGTTTTTAATCATTACACATGTGCTGCTGTTGCGAGGGTACTTGTGGCCCTTTCCTTCCAATCTTCCAGAGGTTGCTTACGATGACTGGGGCATGGGATTTGGCGTGTTTTTGCTGGTCGATCCATCAGCGGGCCCAATTTTTTGGTATCTTGGCCTTTACCTTGGCTTTCTTTACGTCGTCGGTCTGCACTCAGTTCCCGCAACTCATGCGCGACATCAGGAAGAGAAGCTGCGTGTTGAAAAGCGAGAGCGGCAGCAAGGGCTCTATTCTGCAGTAACGGACAAAGGCTGGGTCATTGTTGAAAATCATTTTCGCTTTTTTGAATACTTAAACCCAATCAGGAACACAAATGATCATCTTTAAACAGTGCCCCCAGCAATGGTGCGGTTTAGGATGGCAACCCTAAACCCTAAACCCTAAACCCTAAACCCTAAACCCTAAACCCCAAACCCCAAACCCTAAACCCTAAACCCTAAACCCTAAACCCTAAACCCTAAACCCTAAACCCGACAAAGGGTGGCAAGAGAGGGTCGAAGACTTGGCCCAGCGGGCCATCACTTTGGAGGCGCTGCTACGGTTCTACAAGGGCCTCTTGGTCTCAATTGGGTTTAGGGTTTAGGGTTTAGGGTTCAGCATCTCAAGTTCGAGCATCTACTAGGCCAGCAGTGTGTGTAGGCAACGGAAAAAACCCACCCGCCCAAAGAATCCTATAACATCAAGAAAATTAGAGTTTATTAATCTCTGTTCAGACGCACCAAAGCAAACAATCACCCAGACCTCAAGTTATTCCATCCAGGAACCCTGAGTCCTGAGTCAGTCGTCAGAGGGGCCGAAATGGATCAAATCGCCGAATTCGTGCTGAACAATGGGGGGCCAAAGGGGTCAGAGGGGCCGAATTGGATCAAATCAATTCGTGCTGAACAATAGGGGGCCAAAGGGGTCAGAGGGGCCGAAACGGATCAAATCGCCAAATTCGTGGGGTCAGAGGGGCCGAACTGATTAAATCGCCAAATTCGTGCTGAACAATGGGGGGCCAAAGGGGTCAGAGGGGCCGAATTGGATCAAATCAATTCGTGCTGAACAATAGGGGGCCAAAGGGGTCAGAGGGGCCGAAACGGATCAAATCGCCAAATTCGTGGGGTCAGAGGGGCCGAACTGATCAAATCGCCAAATTCGTGCTGAACAATGGGGGGCCAAAGGGGTCAGAGGGGCCGAATTGGATCAAATCAATTCGTGCTGAACAATAGGGGGCCAAAGGGGTCAGAGGGGCCGAAACGGATCAAATCGCCAAATTCGTGGGGTCAGAGGGGCCGAACTGATCAAATCGCCAAATTCGTGCTGAACAATGGGGGGAGGGGCCGAATTGGATCAAATCCATTCGTGCTGAACAATAGGGGGCCAAAGGGGTCAGAGGGGCCGAAACGGATCAAATCGCCAAATTCGTGGGGTCAGAGGGCCGAACTGATCAAATCGCCAAATTCTTGCTGAACAATGGGGGGCCAAAAGGGGTCAGAGGGGCCGAATTGGATCAAATCAATTCGTGCTGAACAATAGGGGGCCAAAGGGGTCAGAGGGGCCGAAACGGATCAAATCGCCAAATTCGTGGGGTCAGAGGGGCCGAACTGATCAAATCGCCAAATTCGTGCTGAACAATGGGTGGCCAAAAGGGGTCAGAGGGGCCGAATTGGATCAAATCAATTCGTGCTGAACAATAGGGGGCCAAAGGGGTCAGAGGGGCCGAAATGGATCAAATCGCCAAATTCGTGGGGTCAGAGGGGCCGAACTGGTCAAATCGCCAAATTCGTGCTGAACAATGGGGGGCCAAAGGGGTCAGATGGGCCGAAATGGATCAAATCGCCAAATTCGTGCTGAACAATGGGGGGGCCAAATGGGTCCCCAAAAATCCCCTTAAAACCAAAAAGGGTACCCTCTTATTCCTAGGTTACTCCTGGGCCTCTTGGTAGGTCGTAGTGGTACCTTTTACCCGCTTTTTGTTTTGGTTATGGGGTTCTCTGAAAAAGGAACCATTAAAGAAAAGGGTGTCCTTAACTATACCCTTTAACTATACCCTAAACCCTCAACCCTGAACCCGAAACCCTAAACCCTAGACCCTAAACCCTACAACATGGTTACAGGGCTCCCTAATAAGGTCTTGGCACAGACTACATGCTGAATTTCAACTCCCAAAAGCACACCACTGATGATGTGGTACGCCAAGCCATCATCCCCCTGAGCGCGGATGGGATGTCGGACATGTCGTCGAGTCTCGGCTAGGTTTAGGGTTTAGGGTTTAGGGTTTAGGGTTTAGGGTTTAGGGTTTAGGGTTTAGGGTTTAGGGTTTAGGGTTTAGGGTTCAGGGTTTAGGGTTCAGGGTTTAGGGTTCAGGGTTTAGGGTTTAGGGCTGCAAGCTTTCGGAGCTGCCTTCTGCTGTAGGCTGAGGGGTTTAGGGAGTGCAAGAGCTCCTACATCTGGCAGTAGCGCATTGCTTTGTAGTTCCTCTGGAGACAGAAGTTTGCTCTGGACTTCCAAGTACAACGAAAAAGAGCCTACATACATAGGACGAACTCCTTGCGGACCCCCGCAATGCAGACAAGAGCACGCGCTGCTATGGCTTCGTGCCTAACGTCAGGATGTAACATACTTGTTCTCACGGCGTTTTGTCATTGCGAAGTATAACATCAGAATATGGTAACAGCCGCTTTACCCCTATCAGTGTTACCTTTCGGACACTCTGAGGATTCTCATGCAAGGTCGGCGCTTGCGCCCGACAGCAATGGTGACTCATACGTGGCATTCCCACTTCCGTGACCTGGTAGCAGCGGTCGTGGCCGACGCATTGGAAGAGACGCACTTCTTTCGGATTGCGCGGCTCCTGGAGAGTGACATCAACCTGGTGAAGAGGCGCGGAAGATTGGGGGAAGCTTACGATTCAAGGGGTACCTTGTTGGGGTCCGCAGTATAAGGGGATCCTACTTTTTGGTGGTCTACATTGGGGATCTCCCATTTTCACAAGCACCCATTGTTTTTGTGAATCTTCTGCAAACTCCAACTGTCTCCATGAAGCTACTTGATAGTTGGGGGGGTTTCGGGTTGAGGGAACTTGCCCCAGCCTCGGCATGGGGAAAGCTAGAGCAACTGGGTGAAGGATCAGCAACTTACAAACAGGGATCAAAAACAGTTCGGGTGAACAAACCAAGGGAGGTTTACTTGGGAGGGTCGTGGGCTGCGGCGAGCTATGGGCAAGCTCTGCAAAGGGGTGTCGTGAAGGATCCCGTAAAGGGACGCCCCGCCACTCCCCCCGCCCCACCCTACGCCAACGCTGCTCACTTGCTACAAAGTGTGATCGTACCCTGGAGAAGGAAGGTACAGTGCATTCTGGTCTGTTCGTCACGATTGTGTCCCCGTTTTGTTGTTTGGGCGGTTTTTGTGAATTCCGAGGTGGCTGTGCAGAGCAGGAGCCCTGGAGAGGACCTATTGGATTTGTGCCTTGTGCGTGAACCAGCACACCAGCATTTGTTGCCCAGACTTCGGCCTTGTAGACTCCTATAGCAACACTGCAGTGCCTCCTTGCAGATGCGACTGCCCCAAGTATCTCAATACAACGCCCCCTTGCAGAGAAGATGTGGATGAACCCATAAGCATCAACTGTGAGATGAACAAATTCTCTGACATGATTGCATGGCTCGCTGCAACCGACGATGGCTTCAAACAAGTCTTAGTCGTGGATTCCAAGCTTGAGCTGTTTTCTCGCGCCTGGTGTGTCGCGGAGATAGCTGAATCCTACATGATGGGGATGAAGCAGTTGCCAAAGATTGAAAGTGGCGCAGTCCTCAAGAACCACACAGAGCACCTAAAGATGTTGCGCATCGAAGACATGAAAGCATCGAGACCCGAGGATGTGGAGCAAATTCTCAGCAGAATTCCAAACAAAGCGGAGTTCAATCAACAGCTTCAACGGCTCTTTGACAAACTCTTCCGAACATTCTGGCACCTCCACGCATCAGAGCGCATGAAAATGACCTGCCGCGAAATCCGCTGGCAGCTTGCGTTGAAGGATGATGTGGAGGTGATGAACTTTGATCTCGATGTCATGAGTCCTGGTGGAGAAGCCAGATGCGTAGCAGAGCAGTCTGCATGATGAGTGAGCTCAGCAATCGGGCTGGCAACGTTTTAATGTGTGTGTGTGTGTGTTGAGGCCCGAAGTCCTCCGAACGACGGCTGCCCACCTGCGCCATAGAAGCGGCGTGCTCTCGAAAAATGCGGTTCGGGCCTTTGAAAGGCATAGGGACTTCTTTCATCTCGGTGCTAAGCCCGGCTAAGCCACAGGCATTTTTCTAAACCTCTTGTCTTTGTTTGCTACATCGGCTTAGGGTTCGTGGACCGTGGGAGGGGCTGGCGCTCGGACCCTGTGACTCTGCAGCTGTGAGTAGAACATACCCTTCATACGATTGATGATCTGGGTTTTGGAGTACTATACTTGAATACTTTCTGTTTTCCAAGGTCTACTCCAAAGTAGGATGATAAGAATCCCGCATCGGCTTTCGACCTTTCAATCCCTCACTTCGACGGTATTTGCAGTGCATGTCCGGCGAATCACATGGAAATCTGCATGACCCCAGACTGCAACATTGACGTCAAGGGGATGTTTGGGTTCTGTGTGCCGTCTCATGCGGGGCTGGGCAGGGTTATGCAGGTTATCTATCTTTCACCCCTAAACCCTAAACCCTAAACCCTAAACCCTAAACCCTAAACCCTAAACCCTAAACCCTAAACCCTAAACCCTGAACCCTGAACCCTGAACCCTAAACCCTAAACCCTAAACCCTAAACCCTAAACCCTAAACCCTAAACCCTAAACCCGAAACCATAAACCCTAAAACCCTAAAACCCTAAACCCTAAATCCTAAACCCTAAACCCCAAACCCTGGTCCCAGCCAGGGTCGACTGGAAGGGTGGAACGGGTGCAACGCTACATCCCGAAGAAGCCCTCAAACCCAACTGCTCCGAACCCTAAACCCTAAACCCTAAACCCTAAACCCTAAACCCTAAACCCTAAACCCTAAACCTTAAACCCTGAACCCCAAACCCTAATCCCTAAACCCCAAACCCTAAACCCTTCGAGGAAGCCGATCTTCCATCTTCATCGCTGCAGCTGCTCTGGGCATGCGTCCACGTGACTGACGGAAGGTTCTGAGTGCCCACATCAGTTTCGGGGTTTAGGGTTTAGGTTTCAGGGTTTAGGGTTTCGGTAAGGAAGGATGCGCAGACCCGGCAGAGTGCAGCGTAGATGTTTCCAAGCACTTGAGGGTCGCCGACTTGACAGCCCGGTCCCAATGCCAATCAGGACTCTCCGACATCTGTCTAGGATTTCGTCCCTAAACCCTAAACCCTAAACCCTAAACCCTAAACCCTAAACCCTAAACCCTAAACCCTAAACCCTAAACCCTAAACCCTAAACCCTAAACCCTAAACCCTAAACCCTAAACCCTAAACCCTAAACCCTAAACCCTACACCCTAAACCCTAAACCCTACACCCTAAACCCTAAACCCTAAACCCTAAACCCTAAAAACAGAAACCCTAAAGTCTAAGCCGAGCCCACCTCTGTGGCGGGCGAGGCTTGCCGAGCGACACAGGCTTGAAAGTGACCAAGTCCTTCGGCATATGCTCGATTGTACGCGGACGCATGCATCTTGAGGTCAGTGCATTGCGACAGAAGTTCACTAGAAGCCTTCGGTCGGAATATTTACGCTTTTGCATAAATGCCAAACAAGATAATTGGGAATACCATCTGGCCTTGGCTGAGCTCGCGTATAACAAACGTCCCCACAAGACCACTAAAATGCCTCCATTTCACGCCGATTTGGGTTACGAACGTCGAACATTTTCCTTAAGTCAAGCCATGCGGAGGGAGCAGCCTTGCCATGCCCTCACTGCGCGACCGTGTCCTGGTGCGATAGGTTCCACCATGAATAGCTCGTGAAACACCCACCGTTTAAAGAGCTCCATGGGCATGGAGTTGAAGAAGGTCATCATCCTGGTGGCAGACATGGTCTCGAGGCGGCTTGCATATCGCGAAGCCCTCTGAGCGGTGCTTGCCCGGATCCCAATGTTGCTCCACCGCTGTCGTGACCCGGAGCCCCGCTTCCATCAGTGCTGTTCCCATTTTCTGTATTTACAACACACCGCTTGCATTGCGGGGTTTGTGGAAAAGCCAAATCCCGCGAGACATCGAAGGACATCGCGATGCATTCGAACACAAATGCAGCCAAAATCAGGGCTTTCGGACCCCTGTGGTTTATGGTAGCCTTCCTGCAGTTTAAGCCTTCCAACAACAAGCATAATGATGATTGTAGTTGCAAAAGCCGGACTAGTAATGGCAATCGTGCTAGGAATAGCAACACACATTGAAAATAAAATAATCATGCTCGTCATAGCAGCAATGCCTTTGGTTTCTCATGTGTAACGTCCATGGCTCAGAATCTTCTTTCCCCCTGTCCTATCCCATGAACAAAGACCTTTCAAGGTCCCAGTGCCCCGAAACCATGGAATCTTTCCCGACACCCAGGTCCGTCGGCATGTCGTTGTAGAAAGTCGCAGCATCTGCGGGTTGGGGTTCCCAAGATTCTGCCATCCTAAACCCTAAACCCTAAACCCTAAACCCTAAACCCTGCTGGAGCTTCGCATCGGTCCCCTCGTGGCGTTGTGGCTCATCGAGTTTGAGAACAGCATCTCGCAATCTGCACTTACACATACGCCCGGCCTAGAGCCTAAACCTGAATCATGTAGGGGTTGTTCCAACAAATGTGGTCTCTTCTTCGTGCTTTGCATATGGGGGGTCCGTATTGTAAGTACCCAAAATGGACCCTTATTGAGAGAATTGACCATGTCCCTAAACCCTAAACCCTAAACCCTAAACCCTAAACCCTAAACCCTAAACCCTAAACCCTAAACCCTAAACCCTAAACCCCATATCCCTTACTGTACCCTACAGGCTGCCCTCCCAAGCCGCACCCGATGCTGCGAGCATCCCGGTGTACTCGAAGAGGCACCTTGGCCCACTTGGGTTTTCAGGGTTTAGGGTTTAGGGTTTAGGGTTTTTAGGGTTTAGGGTTTAGGGTTTAGGGTTTAGGGTTTAGGGTTTAGGGTTTAGGGCTTAGGGCTTAGGGCTTGGGGCTCAGGGGCCCCCTTGTTACTCATGGGTTGCCGCCTATCTACTACTCCCCCTAGGTTCCGCCCTTAAGTACCTTGATTATCCCTAAATAGCCTTGATTAGGGGGGGAACCTGGGGGGGGTAGTAGAGAGGGGGGTGGTAGGAGAACCCATGATTTCAGGGCCCCCTGCCCCCCCTGCCCCCCCTCTTTGGGCCGAGCTGCAAGGGGCCGAAGGGGGAAACCCTAAACGCTACGCCCCAAGTGACAGGGTTTAGGGTTTAGGGTTTGGGTTTGGGGTTTAGGGTTTAGGGTTCAGTGGCTTCGAAGTAGCCCCAAAGTCCTCAAGATAACTCGAAAAACCCGAATCCCCCTACGAAAACCCAAGTTCAACAGCCAATGAGCAGCTTGCAGGCCATTACGTCCAGGGATGCTGTGGGCGTGCCACTTTCGGGGCAGCGGCTGCGGGTTGCTTCTGGAGTGACTGCGCGTGAGGCAGGGGGCTGAGGGCGAGCTGAAATCCAGGAATGTAGGGTTTTGGGTTTGCAGGCCCAAGCCCCAAGCACTAAACCCAACCCCCACGCCACAGCTGATCCCTGAGCACAAAGCGCTGAGCTCTCCTGATCTCTTGAGAAGCTTGTTTTTGGTGCTTCTTATCCGCGCTGCGGTGTGGTATTGTACGTGAGTCGCAGGATTGCAGGAGGTGGCAGTTGAAACGCAGCGGCATCGCCTGCAATAACGAAGGTCAGATCAGGAGGGCGGCTGGGTCTTACCGCAGTAGGGTTTTCATAGGCGGGCAGAAGGCATGAACTCGACAAATGGATCCAGTGAAGAAACCTATGGATGTCCACTGGTGGTTTGGGCATGTTCCGGCACAATAGGCCTCACCAACCAATCAAGTTCCCCGCGTCTATGATGCTTGTAGGGCCCGGAAGAAACCCAATGGAGGAGCATCTGCAAGCTGGGGGGGCTCTTACCCGAAACCCTAAACCCTAAACCCTAAACCCTAAACCCTAAACCCTAAACCCTAAACCCTAAACCCTAAACCCTAAACCCTAAACCCTTTTCAGGGTGGGCATGCGGTCTCCTCAGCTGCCACGGCGCACGGAGGCGCACGGGATTATAGGCGTTTCTCGCGCAGAAAGGTGGTCGTTCGAGATTTTCTGTGGCCCTTGGGATATTTCTCGGAGGGTTCTGGTTTAGGGTTTAGGGTTTAGGGTTTAGGGCTTAGGGTTTCGGGTTTAGGGTTGAGGGTTGAGGGTTCAGGGTCAGGTCCAACCTGGGACATTAAGTAGGGCATTTTCCGTTATTGTGTTGAGCAGGATCATGTAGGAATATGTTTCAGAGGGTTCTATAAGGGCCAACTTAGGAAATTTAGGGCCCATTTTTGAGGATCCTTTCAAAAGGTGCCCCGAAAAGGGAGCCCTGGTTTTATGAGATTTAGGTCGAGTATTTCCTAAAATAACCAGCATGTATTACATTCGGTCCTAGTTGAACAACCCCCCCCCCCCCCCCCCCTTCTTCCCCCACATGAGAGACAGATTTCAGTCAGCACCGCTGCTGGGTATCATCAGCATCCCCGGCTTTCCTGCCACTTCGTCACGCTTCTTCCCCGCCGAGAGGACCCCCAATACCGCTCAATTGAGGAAAACGCTTCAAATCAAGATGTGGACCTCACTGTAAGATTTTTCTGTGCATAAGGGGCAGTGGGCCCCATGGGAGCCTCTTCTTTCAGCAGCCGTCCAACTGGTGACGAGCCCTAATCCTTTCAAGTCAGGAGCGGAGGTTGCCTCGAGAGTGCTGAGCGCCGCACAGGACGGCAGGCCTTTCGTTCTTACTGGGATCTCAGGGCTCCTTGCTGTGGGTTTAGGGATTATAGGGCCATGTAGGGCTAAGGCTTAGGGCTTATATGGCTTAGGGACCTAGCTTGGGGTTCTGTGCTTGGCAGTAGAACTCCAGCTGCATCGTCACCATGCGTTCACTTGCTCGCGAGGAGAGCAGCCTTCGTTTGCACATAGCTCACGCAACTCGGCGGGCATATCCTGCGCCTTCGATTTAGGGTCTAGGGTTTGGGGTTTATAGGGTTTCGGGCCTCGAACCTGGAACCTTGATCCCTGGTCCATGGACCCGGGCCCTGAATCCCTCTCGGCATTCTACCGCATGGTTGCTACTAGCATGATGCAATGAGAACTCCGCCGCGTGTTTGCTGCTGATGCTGGCGAGTGAGGTGCTTTCGAACAGGGGTTTCAGGTGCAGGGTTTCGGGTGAGTCTGAAGACGAGGGTTTCCTTTCTCACACAAGGCGCAGCACACCCTAAACCCTAAACCCTAAACCCTAAACCCTAAACCCTAAACCCTAAACCCTAAACCCTAAACCCTAAACCCTAAACCCTAAACCCTAAACCCTAAACCCTAAACCCTAAACCCTAAAACCCTAAACCCTAAACCCTAAACCCTAAACCCCAAACCCCAAACCCAAAACCCTAAACCCTAAACCCTAAACCCTAAACTCACAGCAGCAACCGAAGACTCATCACAGCCTCAAGTCATTGATTTTGTTGAAGGCCCCATCGCAGCACCAACGCCGCACCCTTGCCATGCTGTCTGGTGGCCCTCCAATCCTGAACCCCAAAATCCTAGGGTTTAGGGTTTAGGGTTGTTTAGGGTTTAGGGTTTAGGGTTTAGGGTTGTTTAGGGTTTAGGGTTTAGGATTTAGGGTTAGGGTTGCACCAGGTAAGCGCCTTATCCTCGGCGGCGGCCGAGCAGCGCCAGTGGCGGAGGGCCCTCCAGTTGCTCGAAGGGCGCCTCGGGGGCAGTGGAGGGGTACTTGGAGTTTCATGGTACTTATGCACCTAGGGTTTAGGGTTTAGGGGTTTAGGGGTTTAGGGGTTTAGGGGTTTGGGGTTTAGGGTTTAGGGCTTAGGGTTCAGGGTACTTGTTAACCAATGATAACTGTACTCATAGCTGTACTTATTACCATCTTAGGGCACTTAAGGGGGCTTATAAGTGGCTTATAGGTACAGATATAATTGGTTAGTAAGTACCATGAACCTCCAAGTAGGGCTTTAGGTTTTAGACGGGCCTGGCGTGTTGAAGGGGTTTAAGGCTGTTTGGGGTTGAGACTGTTTAGGGTTTCAGGGTTTGGGGTGCAGGGCTTCAGGGCCAGACAAGACCTTCAGCGCTTTGAGGGCGGCTTTGGTCAAATTCACATAAACCTGCAAGCCACACCCTGATGCCTTACAAACCCCTCAACCCCCTAAACCCTAAACCCTAAACCCTAAACCCTAAACCCTAAACCCTAAACCCTAAACCCTAAACCCTAAAGTTCAACCCTAAACACAGGCTTTGCGTGAGCACCAGGCTTCCCCTCCGTTATCTTCGTTGGGATGCCGTGTGCTACGGCGGCGCGATCAAAGCCTGCCAGGCCGGGTCTTGAAGAAGGGTTCCCCCCCCCCCCCCCCAAAAGGGGCAAGTCCCCCACCCCCCCCTTTTCTGCCCTAAGAGTTTTTGGGGAACACGCACGCATGTCATGGTTCATGTTGAAGATCTATGCCAAAGCTTAACCTGCATCAATCCTTTCAGAGAGGTTCCGGGCCGCTGGCAGCTTGCTTGCCAACTTTTGCCCCGGGGGCGTTTGACGTCTCGGCCCGGGGGCCCTGGCGGTCAGCTTGTGTGCAGAGTTGCCCTCAGTCCCCCAAAACCCCAAACCCCCCCAAAACCCCAAACCCCCAAAATCCCCAAAACCCCAAAACCCCCAAACCCCCCCCCCCCCCCCAAAACCCCTCAAAAAGCCCTTAAACCACCCAAAACCCTCAAAGACCGGATTCAAGGACTAAGGACGCCCTTCGGCCCGGAGCCCTCACCTTGCGCCCAGGATCTCCTTCAACGCGGCCATCGCGACAGGCCGCCGTTTCTCCTGTTTAGGGTTTAGGGTTTAGGGTTTAGGGTTAGGGTTTAGGGTTTAGGGTTTAGGGGCCGACAGTATCCCCTGGACCCCCCAAAAAACAAACCCCACAATCCCCTCTTCACAGAAACGAGAAGCACAGAGTCACAGATCGCGTGGCTTGCTACAAGTATGCGTGCCTCAGGACGTCAAAAAGACACCAGGCAAACGCCAAAATGCGTCAAAAGGCGACATAACGCTCGAAATGGACCCAAGAAGCCTCAAAAGATCCCCCGCAAAGGCACCAACCGTTCCAAAACAAAGCCTCCGCGACCAAAAGCGCTTCAAAAGGCGTTGAAAGAACACCCCCCCCCCCCCCCCACCCCCCCAAAAGAAAAAAAACAGAAGGCATTCCGAAAGGCTAAGGCTGCTTTTCTGACCAAAACCCATGGCCGAAACCCATGCAAAAAAACATTCACCCAAAAAAAGGGGACGCCAACCCTACCCATGGTCTGTAAGCTCTTCGACCCAAACCCCAAGATCCGGCCCCCCAAGCCCCAATTTCAGCCCCCCAAAAACCCCAAGATTCAGCCCCCCAAGCCCCAAGATTCTAGCCCCCCACTTGGAGCTTCAGGGTACTTATAACCCTAATCATATCTGTACCTATAAGCCCCTTAAAATCCCCCCAAGTAGGCTAGAAGTAGACTTATAACTGTGGTTATAAGTACCCATGAACCTCCAAGCAGGCGCCAGGAAGGGCGCCGGCTGGCAGCAATGCCTGGTGCTGCTGGTGCAGCTGCGGCCCCAGAAGGCCTTCAGGGGGCTCAAAGGTCTACATCTAAACCCTAAACCCTAAACCCTAAACCCTAAACCCTAAACCCTAAACCCTAAACCCTAAACCCTAAACCTTAAACCCTAAACCCTAAACCCTAAACCCTAAACCCTAAACCCTGAGCCCTAAGCCCTAAGCCCTGAGCCCTAAGCCCTAAGCCCTAAGCCCTAAACCCTAAACCTGTGCTTGCGGTGTCCCGTCTCCTGGGGCTTCTGGAGTGCCATCAGAGAAGCCCGCGGAGCGCCGAGTCTCCCTCTAATTAGGGTTTAGGGTTTAGGGTTTAGGGTTCAGGGTTTAGGGTTTCGGGTTTAGGGTTTAGGGTAGTAGAGTGCCTGACCTCCGAGAAGCCCGCAGAGAGTGCCGCCCAAATCGATTTCTTGGCTGGGGTTTCGAGGAAGTCGGCTTCAGAATATGAGGGCTCTAGGCACCCTAACCCCCAGAGACCCACGAGCCTCTCTTCAACCGTTTGCTCCTGCGGAAAGGTGGAGCCGAATATGGTCACGTACAATTCTGCCATGAGTGGCTTCGAGAGCCCTTTTCCTGCAACCTGCCGGGCGGTGGGAACCCTAAACCCTGCACGGCTAAACCCTCAACCTCCAAGCCCAGAACCCTAAACCCTAACCCTAGATTAGGATGCCGTTTTGTGCTTTGGGTTTGGGTCTAGGGCTCACGGGTTGCAAAAAGTTGCGAGTTGATGAGGGTTGGTGCTAAGGCTTCCGAGGTGAACCCTTTAGGGTCAAATCTAGGGGTCGGAAGAATTACTAGCAGTATTCCCTTATGGTCCCCACATGAGGCTGGGGTGTGGATTTTCAGAGATGTCGGGAATCATGTTCCTGGGGTTTAGAAAGTGGTTTAGGGCTTTGGGGTTCCGAGACCCGATGCCGTCAACCTGTAAACCCTAAACCCTAAACCCTAAACCCTAAACCCTAAACCCTAAACCCTAAACCCTAAACCCTAAACCGTGGAGAGGACTCCAAAGATCCATATCGGCTTCTCTCGATGCTGTTCGATTTCCTGCCAAACCCCCCTAAGACACTTGAAGCCCAAAATCCACCCCAAAACCGCTAAACCCCAACCCCTACACCCAACCCTAAACCCTAAACCCTAAACCCTAAACCCTAAACCCTAAACCCTAAACCCTAAACCCTAAACCCTAAACCCTAAACCCTAAACCCTAGACCCTAAACCCTAAACCCTAAACCCTAAACCCCTAAAATCCCCTCGACTGGAAGGAGTTGCCGGCTGGCCGCAAGCACTGGACTTGCTGCGCTGCGCGTCCCTTTCCAGGTCCGGGCAGTTTTGGGTGCGAGGGCTTGGGAAGGAAGGATGGGTACGGTCTAGAGTTTAGGGGTTGGGGTATGGAGTTTAGGGTCTACGGTCTAGGGTTTAGGGTTTAGGGTGTGGAGTTTAGGGTGTAGGGTGTCGGGTTCAGGGTTGGGTTTAGGCCAGTCTTGACATCCGAAAACTCTGAACCCGGCAGCCCCCAAAAACACGCAACCAAAAACCCGAAGCCCTAAACCCTGCCTACGCTGCCAGCCCTAAACCTTGAGCTCTTAAGCCCTAAACCCAAAAGCCTTTAAGAGGCCTTTAGCCTCGCTGGAATATCATGCAGGGAAACCTCCCTCCCTCTTCTGACACATGATTTCGGAAGGACAAGAGGAATGAGCTTTAAAGCTCGGAAGCACCCCAAGCCTGTTCACATGCTTGGGAGCTCCAAGATCTAAGAAACCCCAACCCCCCCCTAAACCCTAAACCCTAAACCCTCAACCCTCAACCCTCAACCCTCAAACCCTACACCCTGAACCAGCCATGTTTGGGCTTTTGGGTTCAGGGAGCTTCTCGAAGGCCACGAAGACTTTAGGAGGCTGGCATTAACTGCTGGGGTATGCTTTCCCTTCTTTCCTTAAAAGGGAACCTGTTCATGAATAATTTTCAATGGGCTTAAAGCACAACCCAGACTGAGTAGGCCATCGGTACAATTAACATTTTTCTGTTGTGTGGGTTCAGGAGGATCATACTTTGGAACATCTTTCAATGGGTTTACAGGGGCCGGGCCTTATGTGCCATTGAATGAAGGTTGTGTTTCTGCATTTCCTACCCGTGAGCTATAAGCTATAAAGCATCTGGTATCTGAAAGCTTGCAGAGGCTCTCTTGCAGCAACATCCTCAAAGAGCGGGCCCCAAACATTACTGGGCAGTGTCTTGGAGTTCCTGACCTTTGCCACGGCCAGCAGTTCTATCCACATAGCTTTGGGGATCAGGACTTAATGACCCAAGCTGGGAACCCTACCCGTTAAGCCCTAAGCCCTAAGCTCTACGCCCTAAACCCTAAACCCGAAATCCTGAACCCTAAACCCTAAACCCTAAATCCTAAACCCTAAAGCCCCCTCCTTTTAAAACCCTACGCAGTGAAGGCAGAAGCTGGATGAAGTCAGCTTCAACACCGCCGCAAGTGTTCCTGGGCCGGAGTTGGTCGTTCAGGGCTTTAAGGAGAATTCAAGGAGGGACCCTTCGACTTATACACTAGGGTTTAGGGTTTAGGGTTTAGGGTTTGACTTGTATACGGGGGGCCCGTAGGGGCCTTGAGGAATGAAGGTCTCTGGTTCAGAGGGCGTTTAGGGTTTCTTCGGGTTGGTGTAGGGCTTTGGGGGTTTAGGAGTTAGGGTTTAGGGCTTCGGGTGCAGGGGCTTGGGGATTTTTGGTGCTCAGGAGCCTGAATCCCCAAAGCTCCTAGCCCGACACCCCTAAACAGCCAAAAAAGAAATGGTCGTGTGGGGGCACTATACACGTCCCGAGAGAGCCCCTTCAACCCTTAAACCCTTAAACAGTTAAACCCTTAAACCCTTAAAGCCCTAAAACCCTTAGACCCTTAAACCCCCTTGACTCCCTTAAACCCTTCAACCCCCTTAAACCTCACAAGCCCCTCAACCCCCTTAACTCCCTCGAAGAACGCCTTTGCCCTCACCAAGGTCTGCTCATCCGAGGGCGGCTGGCTCCGGGCGCTGGACTGCCCTCTGGGTCGGTTGCGGAGGATTTTGGGTTTAGGGTTTGGGGTTTAGGGCTTAGGGCTTAGGTTGCATGAGGATTTTGGGGAGGTTAAAGCGGGTTTCCGAGTTTTAGGGGAGGAGTTCTTAGTATTTTGTTTCTTGGGTGGGTAGGATGGGGGGTTTAGGGCCTTCAGGGGGTGTTACGTTGTTTTTTTTATTCAAAACACCGAAAAACCAAAGGCCTCAAGAGTCGCAATCCCGAGACAGCCTGTAAACCCTAAACCCTGAACCCTAAACCCTAAACCCTAAACCCTAAACCCTAAACCCTAAACCCTAAACCCTCTGTAAGAAGAAAACCCTTAAAGTGCATCCCCAGGATCTCCTGCAGTGCATGGCTCTGCGCCCGGGCATGCCTTTCACTCGCGCACCCCCCTCGAACTCCCAACATTTCCCAAGACCCCCTGCACCCCAGACAGGGTTTTGGGTGTAGGGTTTAGGGTTTAGGGTGTAGGGTTTCGGGTTTGGGGTGCAAGGTTTTGGGTTTTTAGGGTTGTTCAAGAAAATTTGCCATTTGTCCCTTTTTTTTGTGGGGGGGGGGGGGGGGGGGCTCGGAGGATCATAGTTGGGAGTTTCTTTTTTCCTTTTTGTCATCAGAGGCTTTCAAGGGCCCGAGCATAAGGCGCTCGCTTCCGCGGCGCCGGGTCGGCCTCAACGCTGGGCTGAAGGCCCTGAGGGCTCGCTGGGAGAGAGGCTGCCTTTTGCGGCCCGGCACATGAAAGGGGGGTTCTTGGAGGTTCATTTGGGTGCGTATAAGTAAGGTTATAAGTATGGTAACTGGGAACTCTACTTATGACTTATACCCTTACTTCTGTAGGGTACTTAGAACTGTAATTATAGCTACCCATGAACCTCTAAGTGGGGGTTCGGGGCTGTTGGGGGCTCTATATAACAATCTTTTTTGCGTGAGGAATATGCTTCTTAGAGACCGGTTGGATCCCCTACTGTGCACTCTTGGGGAAGCTTCCCCTTGCCTTTGAAGGGACATTGAAGTCTCCTGGGCTTGCGAGTTTTTAGGGACTTCGAGTTGAAGTCCAGCTTTACGACCTTGTGGGGTTGGTAGCATGCTTCGGCTACCCGAATACCTCTGCAAGAAGTCAGCTAGAAAGTTTGTGGGTTTAGGGCTTAGGGTTTAGGGTTTACGGTTTAGGGTTTAGGGTTAATGGCGCCGAAAACCGTTGAGGAAGACGGTTGGTGGTGTTGCTTGAGGCCCCTACAGTGGAATGTACTTCTTGAGACACGTACATTTTACTCAGCAAGTCAACAAACCACGCGCGCCGCTCGTATACATTAAGAATTGGGAACCTTTGAGCCACAATACCCAAAACCCTAAACCCTAAACCCTAAACCGTGTAATTAGTGACTGTAGTGCGAGCGTGGCATTTACCAAGCGGTCTCCCTGCGCCAACAAAGGCTGCGCCTGGAGCAGCCCGCCGCTTTGCGTACGGTTTTGTGCAAAGCTGCGCATGTGGAGGGTTGAGGCCTCGATAGGGTTCGGGTTTAGGGTTAAGGCTTTGGGCTTTAGGGCTTTAGGGTTTAGGGTTTAGGGTTTAGGGGTTAGGGGTTAGGGTTTAGGGTTTAGGGTTTAGGTTTAGGGTTTAGGGTTTAGGGTTTCAAGGGTAAGTGTTTAATTCTGGGTCTTCCTGGGATGAGGAGACCTCAATGGGCACGTTCAGGTCTCCAGTTGAGTCTTTAATCTCTAGAATCTCTGACAATACATAACCCTTAGTTAGGGTTCCGGGTTAGATGTTTAGGGTGTAGGGTTCAGGGTTTACAGGGTTTACGAGGCTTTAGATTTCTGCTTCGGCTACAAAATAGCTCAGGAAGAAAGCCCATCACAGGCAAATATCCTTTAGAAGAACTGTCTCCGTAACTTATCAGAGTTTGACTCGGAATGACGGGTTTATTGGCTCGTATTTTAGGTCGTTTGCTCCTGAACGTCACGTTCTAAGCCTTTATTGCTTCCGCGGGCGCTTCCGTAGCCTTTCTTCCAGTGGATGAGCACCGGTTACAGCAAACACGCCTGTACGCCCTGAGCTTACACCCCAACCCCAAGCCAATCCCCGCATCCCAGAGTCTAGGAAACTGATCCCAAACTCTGAAACTCTAATGCCCGAGCCTTCAAGCGTCCGAGAGCCTAGGCGCCAGCCCTAAACCCTAAACCCTAAACCCTAAACCCTAAACCCTAAACCCTAAACCCTAAACCCTAAACCCTAAACCCTAAACCCTAAACCCTAAACCCTAAACCCTAAACCCTAAACCCTAAACCCCAAACCCTAAACCAAAAAACCAAAAAACCCTAAACCCTAAACCCTAAACCCTAAGCCTTAAACCCTAAACCCCCTAGAGCATGCATGAACCCTTCCCCTCTTGCACACCCAAGTTCAAGACCCCTGTCCGTGCCAAGGACCTGGTGGCTTTCAACACCGCCATTGCAAGCCTCACAGCCGAGCTCCCCAGCCTGACTAACCCCTAAACATGACCTCCTGGTTCTTAGTAGCTAGGATGCCCAGTAGTACCCTTATTCCCTTTTTTTGGGGGGTTTAGGTTCCCTTATAAGCCCCTTTAAGCAAAAAAGGGCACCCTTTTATTTTAAGCCTAGGTTACTGGGCAGCCTAGGTAGGGAATGAGGGAATTCGGGCCCGACATATGTCCTTTAAGGGACTATGCAGGGCACCTCATTCCCTCATTCCCCTACGAAGAGCCAGCCGGATGAAACTCTCAGGTCCTGGGCCCGAGGGCTGGACTTGGTGGGTGTGCTCCCAGCGGCTGGACGAGGGCTCTTTCTTGCTTAGGGTTCAGGGTTCAGGGTTCAGGGTTCAGGGTTTAGGGTTTAGGGTTCAGGGTTCCTGTCTGGATTCCCTGGCAACCACTGAAATTGAAGTAAGGGTTTAGGATTTCGGGTTTGAGGTATTCTCACTCACAACCTAGCCTGACATTCCCCTCATGCACTGCAGCAGAACCCTTAGTTTAGGAACCACCCAAAGGCCCAAAACCCCAAACCCTCAACCGCAAAGCCCTTGCATTTTGGGGCACCCTTTTCAGGTTCTCTTCATCGTTTTGACACTCAAAACTCAAAAGTCCAGCAAGGAAGCCCGGCTGTGTGCATCCCTCGCCACCTACGTTTCCGCCGCCTTGCCGCAGAAACGACGATGGACCCAAAGAGCCCAATGCCTCTTAACTAAGGAAGACGCCTGAAATGAGAATCCGCATAAGGCCTCTTCCCGAATGAGGAGCTGTTGGGCTCTCGGAGGATATGCGGGGCCACGAGCAAAACTCATGACCCTGGACCCTAAACCCTAAACCCTGAACCCCAGACCCTGGACCCTAAACCCTAAACCTAAACCCTAGAAGAAGAAGATGATGGGCTCTCGTGGTTAGCGCCTCAGAGACCCTCCTTCTTTAAGGCTCTGACGCTGCTGGGCCAGGGCTCCGCCTGGCGCCGCGCGGTGGAGGGGCTGCTCGGAGTAAGGCATACGGGTAGTTACAAGAGTTTAGGGTTTAGGGTTTAGGGTTTAGGGTTTAGGGTTTAGGGTTTAGGGTTTAGGGTTTAGGGTTTAGGGGACTTGATAGAAGCAAATGAGGGATGTTCCTTACATCGCACTGGGGATCTTAATATGGTTTAGGGTCAGGGAGTATTCCTTCGCTGTTCTTGAGCAAGGGGCGTCTGCAAGGGTCAGGGCGCTCTTGGTGTGGGGGTGGGGGTGGGGGGGGGAAACCGAAAACCCAAACCCGAAACCCTAAACCCTAATCCCTAAAGCCTAAACGCGAAACCCGAAACCCGAAACCCTAAACCCTAATCCCTAATGCCTAACCCTAAACCCGAAACCCTAAACCCAAATCGCTAAAGCCTAAACCCTAAACCCGAAACCCTAAACCCTAATCCCTAAAGCCTACACCCTTTCCCAACCACAAAAAAGATGCGGCGAGGCTGGATGCCTGCCGGCTGGCCGGGAGCTCAGGGCTTCTCAGGGCTTCCAAGGGTTTAGGGTTTAGGGTTTAGGGTTTAGGGTTTAGGGTACACTGAACCCTGAACTCGGAACCCTGAAAGGTTTAGGGCTTATGAGGCCCCTGAATACAAAACCCTCGTTCCTAATAAGCCCTCTCCCCCCCTCCCCCCTCCACCCTCCCACCCTCCCCTTCCCCCCTCCCCCCTCCCCCCTCCCCCCCCTCCCCCCCTCCCTCCCCCCCCCCCCCCCCTCCCCCGCCCCCCTCTCCCCTCCTCCCTCCCTCCCTTGTTTTGTGGTTCGCGGTTCTGAACCTTAAGCCTTAAGCCTCTCAACCCCCGAACTCTCAACCAAGCCCCGAACCTTAGACCCCAAGCCCCAAGCCCTCAAATGAGGGGTACCATGGGGCGACTGCGCCCTCATGGTTGTTCTAAGCGCGCCTGTAGTAATGAACTTTATATCATAGGGGGCCCGCTAGAAAACAAGGACTTTTAAAAGGGATCCTGCCCAGAAAGGCCGCTGTTGAAGGCTCAAGCCTAAGCCCTACAACGCCTTACCCACACATGACACCCCTAATCACCCTAAATTACATTAAGTTCCCACAAATACCCAGATCGTCCGGAAAGGCCGGCCAAGAACCAACCCTGGCTCTCCGGTCCTCCTTGCTCAGCGCTCTGTCGAAGGCTGCGTTTCCGGGTTTACGAGGACTCGGTCGGTTCATGTTTCAGTTCTCCAGGGGTTCGAAAGGCACGAGAATGGAAATAGACGGCTGTAGTACGAATTTCGTTTGTTATCGGTGTGGGCTGCTTTTCTATCTCCATTAGGCAGACAAAAAGGTTGCTCTTTTACTCCCAAAGCTACAGAGGGATGCTGGAGGTTTAAAGTTCAGGCCTGGGGCTTCGGGAAGTTTTCAGGTGTGCAGAGCTTTAGTCAGAGGATAACCAATGATCATAAGACTTCTACATATAATCCAGAGAGTGGGCCACTGATGGGTCCTGATGGGTCTGTGTCTGGGATTTCTCAGCGGAAGCTTAGGGCAACTGCGGGGTCCGGAGCTGCGTTGGGGAACGCTGCGAGCGCCAACTGTTGGATCGTGAATCTTGGGTCTGTGTGTAGGACAAGAAGTTCAAGTTTGACTTACTTGGCTTACTTGGTAATCCCCCCCCCCCCCCGACCCCCACCCCCCCACGCCGCCAAAAACCCCACCCAACCCCTTCAAGAACAGCTCCAGGTGCTCCGATGGACGGAAGCACTTGACATTTTCGCAAAGGTGACGGAGGCCGTGTTTGAGCAAGGGCTTAGAAGGTTTAGGGTTTAGGGTTTTAGGGTTGAGTTTAGGGTCTAGGGTTTGGGGTTTAGAGGGTTTAGGGTTTAGGGTTTACGGTCCACGGTTTAGAAAGTTTAAGGGGCTTTTGGCTTTTGGGGTTCGCGGTTTTGGGGTTTGGGGACTAGGTGCATGGGGTTTTGAGGTGCTTAGACAGGGGTTGGGGTGTCAAGAGCACCACCGGCTTTGAGGGTCATGTTGCTCTTGGATGTTTGAATGGGGTGTAGCGTCCCTAAACCCCAAACCCTACCTAAACCCTAAACCCTAAACCCGAAACCCTAAACCGTTTAGGACGTAGGGTTCAGGGCTAGTACGGACAGTTATCATGGCTTGGGGCTTAAGATTTGCATGGCGTAAGTTGCTTGTGGATCTTGTTCTGATTGCAGTTCCCTCCAAGACAGTCAACCCTAAACCCGAAACCATAAACTCCCAACTCCAAATCGTGCACCCGAAACCGTGTGTTGGTTTCTTGCAGTTCTTCTCTCATTGCTCCAGGATTAAGCTTGCCCCGAGAAATGAGAGGAGGGGCCCTGCGTGCAGCCCCCCCCAAACTTTCCAAGCCTTTAAACTCCCTCCAAGCTTCCAAAAACCCTAAGCCCTAAACAGGCGAGGGTGCCGCTGACCCTAAGCATGGGTGCTCGAGCCTTCCGGGCAGGGCTCCAGCCCTAAACCGAAATCACACCTGCGGCCCGGGGAGGGTAAAGCCTGGACTTAACTGTGTCATACACGACAATAGCGTAGCCATATAGAGTATTTCCCAAATTCAACGACCATCATTTCTGGGCATCGCCCTTTTGGAGATGCTGCCAAGAACGGGCTTTTTTCTGGAAGCGCTATGTATGCTCAATGCGCCGGAACGAAGTGCACATTTCTCACCTCTCCAGCGATCATTTACTCGGCGCCCCTACAGGCAGGGCCACGACAGTAGGGGCCGCCCGCGGCCTCTGCTACCCTTGCCGTGTGCTGCCCATCTGGCTGAGAACAAGGGCACCCCCCCCCCCCTGCTAGGGGGCAAATTGAGAATATGCAGGGGCTAGGGGGCGGGGCATCAGAATGGCACAAGGCGAGCGGCCTGGGTGCCTGTTAGCACCAGCGAGCCACTCCTCCGACACACCCTAAACCCTAAACCCTAAACCCTAAACCCTAAACCCTAAACCCTAAACCCTAAACCCTAAACCCTAAACCCTAAACCCTAAACCCTAAACCCCAAACCCCAAAACCCAAGTAGGTCGACGATCGGTGCCGGGCCAGCATCCTTCAAGCGCTGCCGAGCCGCTGGGCACGGGCGCTCGGCCGCCTTGTCGGCATTGCGAGTGTCTAAGGGTGTCTTGGGTTTAGGGTTTAGGGTTTAGGGTTTAGGGTTTAGGGTCTAGGGTTTAGGGTTTAGGGTTTAGGGTGGTTTAGGGTTTTGGGTTTAGGGTGATTTAGGGTTTAGAAATAGGGTGGTTTAGGGTTTATAGGGTCTATAAACAGGGGTTCCAGGGTTTATATGCGCCAGCATAGGCGCACCCCCCCCCTCCCCCCCCCTTGGTATCCCCCCCCCCCCCCCGTGGTTCATGGTGGGTTTTGGGGTCCCCTCCCCTCCCCCCCCCCCCGTGGTTCATGGTCCCTGGTTCATGGGTTTGTGGTTTAGGGGTTGAGGGTTAAGCTGTAGAGTTCAGGATTTTCACTCTGGTCCATTGGTTCATTGTGGGTTTAGAGTTTAATTCGGGTTCAAGGTTTGGGGTAATGGTAGGTTTACGGTTTCCCCTCTCCCCCCTGTGGTTCGTGCTGAGTTTACGCTACAGGTTCAGGTTAAAGCGGCTAAGGTTTCGGGTTTACCCTTCTCCCTCCTGTCGTTCATTGGTGGGTTTAGGTTTTAGGGCTTAGGGTTCAGGGTGTGGTGTTTAGGCTGAGGTTTCTCTGTCCTCCACCGTAGTCCGTGGCGTTTTTAGGGTTAACAGGCAGGGTTTGGGGGGGGATGCCGGGGGGGGGGATACCATGGGGGGGGGTCGATTATGCGCAACGCAGGCGCATATAGGGTTTATACGGTTTCTGGGGTTTAACGATTTTAAAACTTTGGGGTAAGTACACGATATGCCAGGAGTGCCACCACAGAAATGATACAGCTCCCCAACTCCACGCTTTAGATGCTTTAGACCGCAAAGGTTAATTCCCCCTCGAAAACCCTAAGCCCCAAACCCTACGCGCTACACCCCAAACCCTAAACCCTAAACCCTAAACCCTAAACCCTAAACCCTAATCCCTAAACCCTAAACCCTAAACCCTAAACCCTAAACCCTAAACCCTAAACCCTAAACCCTAAACCCTAAACCCTAATCCCTAAACCCTAGACCGTTCCCCCAATTCATGTACGAGGCCTTCTCTCGGGCCCTCCGCCGGGAAATCGGTCGCTGGCAGCTGCAGCTTGGCTCTGGAGGTTGACTCAATAAGGCTTTAGGGTTTAGGGTTTAGGGTTTAGGGTATCGCAAAAACTGCAACCCTAAAACCTGCAAGTATTTCTGATTCTCTATATGATCCGCAGAAGCGTCTACACATGATTCGTGCCCGTCTTCACTACTTTGCTTGTTTGTTTTTGTTGTGGTGGGGGGTCGGGGGGGAGGGACCTCTGTATAAGAAATCCTACCCTAAACCCTAAACCCTAAACCCTAAACCCTAAACCCTAAACCCTAAACCCTAAACCCTAAACCCTAAACCCTAAACCCTAAACCCTAAACCCTAAACCTCTCAATCATTCTTTGTTCGTTTGGAGGGGTGGGCCGTTTCAACTTAGGGATGATGGGGTTGTTTTGGGAGTGGTCTGGTCCGAGGCTGCCATTTTGCTCCTGTTTAGGGTTTTGGGTCGGGGTTTAGGGTTTATAGGGTCTATAGGGTCTATAGGGTTTATAGGGTTTATAGGGTTTATAGGGTTTATAGGGTTTATAGGGTTTATAGGGTTTATAGGGTTTATAGGGTTTATAGGGTTTATAGGGTTTATAGGGTTTATAGGGTTTATAGGGTTTATAGGGTTAACGGTTCGGGATTTAGGGTTGAGAGCACTTTTCCGGGGCGAGGGCCCTTCCTGAAGATCTTCTTTCAGTTTCGCGCTCAACCCTCAACCTAAACCCTAAACCCTAAACCCTAATCCTCAAGCCCTAAACCCTAAATCCTAAACCCTCACCTAAACCTTGAGGCGGCGGGCGCTTGCCAGGACCACCTGCGCCTTGGGGTTTCGTGTTCGGAGTTTACCTGAAGGTTCCTGATAACAGTACCTATAACCATATTAGGGGCTTATAAGTGCAGTTATAAGTACAGATATAATTGGTTAGTAAGTACTATAACTGTACCTATAACTGTACCTATAACCATATTCGGGGCTTGTAAGTGCAGCTTTAGGTACAGTTATAATTGGTTAGTAAGTACCCTAAACCCTAAACCCTAAACCCTAAACCCTAAACCCTAAACCCTAAACCCTAAACCCTAAACCCTAAACCCTAAACCCTAAACCCTAAACCCTAAACCCTAAACCTTCAAGTAGGGAGCCACGTTGGCCACGCCTCAGGCATCTGAGATCCCTGAAGGCCTCGATGTCCTGCAAGGGTTTAGGGTTTAGGGTTTAGGGTTTGGGGTTTAGGGTTTAGGGTTTAGGGTTTAGGGTTTCGGGTTTAGTCGGCCCAGCAAAACCTACCCGCGGAACACCTTTGCCAACCCCCTCCCACCCCCCCAAGTTGTTCCAAGCGTCCTGAGGGTCCGACGTGCCCAAGATGTCTGTCGTTTGGCGATTTAAGGGTTGTTCCTGAAGTGACCTTGGAAGATCTGGAATTCTTGTTGCTATTACTTGAAGCGTCATGCGAAGATTTCAGGGGATATTCCTCTCAAGCTTGCCACCATTTTGGCAGCCCTGCTCTCTGATAATACTGACCTCGCTAAGCATGGCGTTTGTGGATGTGTTTGCGACTTATCGATCCCTTGAGCTTCACGGGCAGCCTTGGGACCAGCCGTGGGGAGTCACACCCTACCAGGTTCCCCCACGCCTCAATCGGCTGCTCTACGGCAGCCTGACTTTGTCAGAGTCCGTGTCCGAGAATGGCTCGGAGGACTATGGGAGCTCCGGCAGTGGAGATGTAGGTCGCTTGGAGTTGGATGGCAGCCCGTCCACAAATGAGCCAATGTATGTGGCGATTATGCCTCCTCCTGGCCTGAGCCAGGACATCGGTGACGTGGCAAAGGCTTACCCAGTGGGCCAGCGTGCCTCACTCGGTCTACCCATCCTGGCTTCTCCTAGTGGCTTCGCCAACAAGATTAATACCCCCCCCCCCGACTCCTTCCAGCACCAGGCCAGAAGCAGCGCAACTTCCAGAACTTCAACTTTGCCATCATCTTTAAAGGCTATGACCTGGAGAAGCATGCCGCCTTCGAGCTTGTCCCTCGCTTAATCGGCCGCAATGGCGACAACATGAAGAAAATCTACAGAACTGGGGTTGACGTACGCGTTCGTGGTCGCGGGAGTGGCTGGAAGGAAGTCAAGTCACCCCATGGCAACTGCGAAAGTGATGAACCGCTCCAGTTGGCTGTTTCGTGCCGTTCGGGGGAGATCAGGGAAGCGGTGTCCCTGGATTGGGGAACAAGTGTTAACGTTCTTTGGGCCTTAGACAACCGTGAAGTCCTTTTGCAACCCTTTATATCCCTATAGGGCCCCCAACTCCACTCAGGTTCAAGGAGACAATGGTGCTGGTGAAAGGCATCGCGCAGCACTTCTGCCGCTTCTGTCACCAACGAAAGCTGGACTGCGTGGAGCTGTACGTGGTGCAGTAGAGGCTGGGGGTTCATCTGGAAACTTTTTTTGTTAGGGACCCCAATCACTATATAATGTAAGCCTAGATGCAAAGATATCACCCATAGAACTTCATATCTTGAGGGCACCCAAAGCCGTGTGGCTCATCCCAGTATGTCATAGTGTTGGGCCATGATGCGTTAATTAGACGGCAGTAGCCACACAGCAATACTTGCAACTAGATTGTGCTGATACATGTTGACAGTACGTGTGTGCCCGTGTATACTTGTTGATACTCAGTTTCCTCATTCATGTTCATGCAATTGTATTACTCCCAAGTGCAGAGTCATGATTTTTTTTCATCTGGTGCGTGGCTGCCCTTTTGCGACAATTGCGGCGGAATCACGCTTCCGATAGAGCCGCGAATCCACGGGGAGTCGCAGTAGGTATAGGCAGTCACTCCCTGTTGGACTCAGCAGCCGGGGCCAGCGGTATCTGTTCATGCTAGCGATCGACAACATGTAGTCGGTTTTAGCGTTGTAACTATCAGACGCCACAAGGTGTGTACCGGTCACTGGCCAACGCGCTCCGTCGCGGCTCTGCCACCAGCAATTAGGACCGCATGCAACGATCAGGAAACTGTTTGACAGGGGTGCAGGGCAAGCGAAGCACCGATGGATCCCAGAGCTTGGCAGCCCCCGATTTGTAGACGCGCAGTGTTAGGGTTTAGGTTTAGGGTATGGGGCCACTGCCCGAATACCCCCAGAAGCCTGTGAAACTTATCCTTCGGTGAGTCGCGCCGGATGGCCTGCGCCCGTAGAACCATGGTGCACCTGATCAAGGGCTCGATGCCACCTGAAGCTGTGAGTTGCAGGTGTGTTTTCAGCTGCTAACTTGAACTGCGAGCTGCGACATCTCTGTGGCATCTTGCCTAATGTAACACGTGGGATCTTTAGCCTGAGGTTTGAAAAAACAAAACCTCTTCCAGTTCCCATTTCATTCGGCTCTGGGTTAGGCCACGGCGTGAATGGATGCAAGCGAGCAAACTGCTCGTCACCGCACCAGAAGACAAGGAAAGGAAGGAGCCAAGCGAAGCGCCTGGCCGAACCCTGTCTGTAGGCTTGCAGGGTTAGGGTTTAGGTTTAGGGTTTAGGGCCATTGCCCGCATAGCCACAGAAGCCCCGACACTTATCCTTCGGTGAGACGTGCCGGATGGCCTGCGCCCGTAGAACCACGGTGCACCTGATCAAGGGCTCGATGTCGCCCAGAAGCCGCGAACCTGCGGTCATCTCTGTGGCATCTTGCCTAATGTAACATTTGGGGTCTTGTGGATGATGTTTGCCAAAGCAAATCACCTTATCCATTTCCATCTCATGCGGCTCAGTGGTTCACCCACGGCATGAATGGATGCAAGCGAGCAAAATGAACTCGTGCATCTCTACTGTACAGTATACTCTACAGTACAATATACTATATAGTATAGTATATTATATAGTACAGTATACTATAGTAATAGTATATAGTATAGTATAGTATACTATACTCGTATGTTCGATGAGGAAGGCCCTTGGGCCGAGAATGCCCCACATGCCAAAGTCCCCGCAGAACCCAACTCTCAGTGTGCCAAGTCCCCCGTGACCACACGATATGTGCTATGTGGGTTTGGTTTGGAACCCTAGCCTGAAACCCTGAACCCTTCCTAACCCCTGAGCCCTTAATCCTAAATCGTCTTCATTCTTTAACCTACTGACTAAGTCTCTGAAGCCATTCACTAGTCCCCTTGGGAAATGTAGTACAGGACGTAGGTCTTCATTCTATGTATCACCCAAGCGATTTTCTTGAACATGCCTTCTTATGGTTGAAGCCCTAAACCCTAGACTCTAGACCCTAAACCCTAAACCCTAAATTCTAAACCTTACACCTTAAACCCAAACCCGAATCATGGTATCGGCCGAGAGAGCGCAGGAATCGTGGGCCCTCTGCCTAGAACTGCTGGGCTGGCTGGGCGCGCGAGGCATAAACCCTGTAAGCCTTAAAGCCTAAACCCAAAAGCCTAAAGCCTAAACCCTAAACCCTAAAGCCTAAAGCCTAAACCCTAAACCCTAAACCCTAAGCCCTAAACCCTAACCCCTAAACCCCAACCCGAAGAGTCTGGGATGCAGGGAGCTGGGATTTTCGGCTTGTTGGTTGAAGTTTCAGAGAGACAGGGATTTGGAGTTTGGTTTGGAGGGGTTGGGGTGCTTAGGGCTTGAGAGATTGCAGGACTAAACTCTCCAGTCTCAGGGCATGCGGTTGAGGGCTGCGGGGCCACAGAGGCTTTTTGTCGCTGGTCAACTCAACAGATTGTGGGATTCTGATTTAGGGTGGGGGGGGGTGAGAGGCGTGCGTGGGGGCTTATGCTCGGCTGTTTCTTTAACCATGAGCCCCAATAGGCGTTTAAGCCTTCATAGCAGAATCCCTTTATCCAGACTACCTCCCCACCTTAAACAGACCCTGGCATAGAAAAATTCCCGAAACCTTAATCCCCGAATCTCATCATCCTTACCTGAAACCCTAGACCACAACCCCAAAAAATAGCCAAGGCTTTTTTTGTAGGTTTTTCAAGGGGCTGGCCTCCTCCGCTCACCGCAGATCAGGCAGCCAAGACTTCGCAGCCACCACAAGCGTCGCGATCGCTGCTGCAGACAAGGACCTTGCTTCTGCTTTGGACTCGGTGTTGAAAAAGTAGTAGTAGTAGTAGTAGTAGTAGTAGTAGTAGTAGTAGTAGTAGTAGTAGTAGTAGTAGTAGTAGTAGTAGTAGTAGTAGTAGTAGTAGTAGTAGTATTAGTAGTAGTAGTAGTAGTAGTAGTAGTAGTAGTAGTAGTAGTAGTAGTAGTAGTAGTAGTAGTAGTAGTAGTAGTAGTAGTAGAAGAAGAAGAAGAAGACATGGCCAAAAGCCCGGGAGTTTGTGCGCTTTGCAGCAAGAACGGTTTCCTCCTCCTGGTGCAAGTTACGCACACTCTGCGGCTGTGGCATGCTTGACCTTGGTGCTCATTCACAAAGCACTTCTGTGCCACTGTCCCCTTGTTTTCCCCTGTAGAATCGGTAGGGTTAAGAACCTCCAAAACCCGAAGCTGTAGCTCCTGAACCTGCAAGCCAAATCCCACCCTAAACCCTTAAACCCTAAACCCCTAAACACCAAGCTCCTCACCCCTAAGCCCCAAACCCTAAAACCCCCGAACCCCAAACTCCCAAACCCCAACCCCCAACCCCCAACCCCGAACCCCAAACCTCAACCCTACAAACCCTAAATCTCCTGAAGCCTGAGTGGCTCCCAGCGGAGGCCTCCCAGTGGGAGCCCGCGCTCGGCCTGCTCGGCCGCGCCTCGCCGCGGACCCGGGATGAGGCACCGAGGGTTTAGGGTTTAGGGTTTAGGGTTTAGGGTTTAGGCTCTCCCGAAACCCTGGAGACGAAATGGACATGCCTTCCTGGCTGCGAGCCTAAGAGCCCTCAACCTCAAAACCAAGACCCTGGCCTACAGAAAAGGCCCCATACAGGACCCAGGGCAGGCCCGATTCCTTTTAGGGTTTAGGGTTTGCAGGGACCCAGAGTGGGCTTTCTTCCTCTTTTTTTGGGGTTTAGGTTCTCTTTAAAAACCCCTTTTGTGCCAAAAGGTGCACCTTTTGCTTGCTACGTTACTCTTGGGCCTAGCATGTCATGGCAGGAATACCAGAAGTGAGCGACATGTAGTGGAGTTCCAGAAGTGAGCGACATGTAGTGGAGTGCCCACGTCGGGTTCAGGTTCGAGGGTTTGGGGTGGAGTGCCCATGTCGGGTTCAGGGTTTCGGGTTTAGGGTTTTGGAGGGTTTTGGAGGGTTTTGGAGGGTTTTGGAGGGGTTTTGGAGGGTTTTGGAGGGTTTTGGAGGGTTTGGGGTTTAGGGTTTAGGGTGTAGGGTGTAGGGTTTATTTAGGGTTTAGGGTTTAGGAGATTAGTGTCCGGAACCCCCACTATAAGAGCCTTTCACGCGCAGCGACGGAGGTGACCTGCACAGCGGTGCTGAGCGCAGCCAGGCGCTCTGCTTTTCAGGTTTGAAGACTTTTGGCACCTAAACCCTAAACCCTAAACCCTAAACCCTAAACCCTAAACCCTAAACCCTAAACCCGAAACCCTAAACCCTAAACCCTAAACCCTAAACCCTAAACCCTAAACCCTAAACCCTAAACCCTAAACCCTAAACCCTAAACCCTAAACCCTAAACCCTAAACCCTAAACCCTAAACCCTAAACCCTAAACCCTAAACCCTAAACCTAACCCTAAACCCTAAACCCTAAACCCTAAACCCTAAACCCTAAACCCTAAACCCTAAACCCTAAGCCCTAAACCCTAAACCCTAAACCCTAAACCCTATGGGGTATTGGGTCCTTGCGGAGGGCCTCCGGTGCTTGGCCAATGGCCTTGGCCTTGCTCGCCGCCATGGAGCCAGGCGCAGAACATTCTTGTGGAATCTAAGTGCCTCCTTGTTTTGCAAAAAGGGGGCTTCGGGTTTAGGGTTTAGGGTTTAGGGTTAAGGTTTTAGGGTTTAAGGTTTATGGTTTAGGGTTTAGGGTTTATCCTAAGTGAATGGGTTATTTCGTGGCCAGTCGTGAACGTTGGAGGAAAGCGTATGAATGACGCACAGCGCTGATGAATCACGCACGATCCATAGTTTAGCCTCCATAATCATAAGCAATATCATAGTTCATATTATCATCAAAATCATTGTCATACATTGCTGTATGGTCTGTTGCTATATGGTTAGATTGTTATAGTGTTATATGGTTCTGTTGCTATATGGTTATACTGCTATATTTATTGTTATATTGTTATATTGTCATATTGTCATATTGTTATATTGTTATATTGTTATATTGTTATATGGTTTTATTGTTATATTGTTATATTGTTTTATTGTTATATTGTTATATTGTTATATTGTTATATTGTTGTATTGTGGTATTGTTATATTGTTATATTGTGATATTGTTATATTGTTATATGTTTTTTTATGGTTATATGGTTATGTGGTTATATGGTTATATTGTTATATTGTTATATGGTTATATTGTTATATTGTTGTATTGTTATATTGTTATATTGTTGTATTGTTGTATTGTTGTATTGTTGTATTGTCGTATTGTTGTATTGTTGTATGGTTATATTGCTATGCCGTTCTATTGTTATATTGTTACAACGTTATATCGTTCTATCGTTATATCGCTGTATTGCTTTTTTTTATGTCATTGCTATACTGTTGTCGTGCTGTATTTCTTGCACTATTATTTGATTGTTATACTCTTCTACTGCTATAATCCCTGAACCCCACACTGCTCAGCACAGCCCCAAGCCCGGAAGCCAACGAGTGCGGTGGGAGGGCGCCTGCACCCTACGGACGTCACCTTCAACGTGGCGGTGGCGGCCGCGTCTTCGGGTCAGAGGCGGTTTAGGGTTTAGGGTTTAGGGTTTAGGGTTTAGGGTTTAGGGTTTAGGGTTTAGGAATATTGTCATGGAATCTCCAACCCTTGAGGCCCTTAAGGGTTCAACGGTTGAGGGTTGTTTCTTGGGGTTTAGAGGGTTTCAGTTTCAGGCCTCAGGGGATTCAGGTCGAGGGGTTGGATCATCAACCCAGCTCTCTGTCGACACCGGCACCTTACACCGAGACCCCAAGCTCGAGAAAGCACCGCGAGCGCTCAAGACATACCTTCATTGAGCCATACATAGTTTAAGCTTCATTCCCAAAGTGACCAACTCTGGAAAATTTGGCTGCAAGCGCTACAAGCCCTATGACTCTCAAGCCATATCCCTTCGGGGTGTTTGTCGCTTCTTTGGTTTTACTTCAGCGCAGCAAGAAAGCCCACAAGCAACCCGAAATAAGCCCTCTCTACGTTCCGAACCCTAATCTCCAGGGCCTGGCGCCCTGCAAGCCCCAAGCCCGGAGCCCTACACTCTAGAACCCGATAAACCCTTGAACCCTATGAGCTCCAGAGCCCTACAAGCCCCCGCACCCCTAGACCCTAAACTCTAGAACTCGAAGCCCTAAACCCTAAACTCTAGAAGGCTAAGCCCTAAACCCCCACTCCAGAACTTTAACCCTAAACCCTCAACTCCACAACCCTGATCTCTTAACCCTAAACCCCAAACCCTGAACCCTAAACCCTACCCTGATCCACTGCAGGCTTTTGCCATGTCAAGGCGATTCCACAGACAGAATCGCTAATTCTACCAATTAGTAATTTTATTCTGTAGTTCAGTCTCCAAGTGGATGCTTCGAGATCGTCCGAGTGATTGTTTGCATAAACCCTAAACCCCAAACCCTAAACCCTAAGCCCTCTAGAACCCTATCCCTCAACCCTGAACACTAAAGGCCCCAAAGCCCCAAGCCTGGGAGTCCACAACCCTAAACCCTAAACCCCAAACCCTAAGCCCTACGCCCCAAGCTCCAAACCCCAAACCCTAAACCCTACACCCTAAGCCCTAAGCCCTACGCCCTTAGCCCTAAACCTGAGCTCCAAACGCCCTAAAGCCCCCAGCTCCAGAAGCTCTAAGCCCTGAGCCCTGAAACTCCAACAGCCCTAAACGTACCCCTAAGAAGCCCCTAAACCCTAAACCCTAAACCCTAAACCCTAAACCCTGAAAGCCCTACCCCCAGGTGGGCCCTGGCCCTGCGCCTGGCGCTGGCCGCCACCCGTGGCGCCAACGCCGCCCTCCAGGCGCTGCGCGACGCTTGGAGGAGGGCGCTGGCGAGGACCGGGCTGGGTTTAGGGTTTAGGGTTTAGGGTTTAGGGTTTAGGGTTTAGGGTTTAGGGTTTAGGGTTTAGGGTTTAGGGTTTAGGGTTTAGGGTTTAGGGTTCAGGGTTCAGGGTTCAGGGTTTAGGGTTGAGGGTTTAGGGTTTGTGGTTTAGGGTTTAGGGTATGGGGTTTAGGGTTTAGGGTTTAGGGTTTATATAGTACTATTCGCAGAGTAGAGTAAGAGAATAGTGGAATAGTCGAAGAATAGAATAGTCGAAGATAGGAACAAGAAGAACTGAATAATACAATCATAGATTAATAGATTAATCTGAGAATGGAATGAACGTTAGAATGTTAGAATGATAGAGTAGTAGAAGAACACAAGATTATGATAAGACAATAAGGCTCCGGATGAAGTTCAGGTTTTCGGTTTCGAAGAACCTTTGCCCATGTAGGCGTTCTGTGTAGGCTTCACGATCGCGTGCTTGGAAAGCGGTGCCAGGAAAGCCTATGCTATGACCATATATTAAGACTCTCCACCCCACTACCAGGAGAAGAACTGCCATTTAGGGTTTAGGGTTTAAGATTCAGGGCTTAGGGTTACAAGCAAGACAGCATACCCTTTCTGATTAACTCGGCTCCTATATTACCCTTAGCCCTCATCCCCCAAAACCGAAACTTGATAAACCCTCAAACCTTCAAACCCTCCAACCCTCCAACCCTTCAACCCTCAAACCCTCAAACCGCCCAAACCCTAATACCCTCAAGCCCTAGAAGCCTATGACTCCAAAACCCCCACCCCCCCCCTCGCCCCCCTTAAAAACCCAGACGGAGAGGCTGGCGTTGATGCCGGCGTGCGGCGTGCTAGCGGACTGCATCAGCCCCTGGGACTTCGGGTCCACCCAGATCGTCCAAAATGGGGGGGGGGGGGGTTTCCAACAATGTGGGGGTGCCCCTGTTGGCGCTTTTTTAAAAGGATGCTGTCTTTTTTTGGGTATGTTTTGGGGTACCCCATCTTCGGAAATCCCCAAATAGCCAAGGACTCGAACATAACAGCTTAGCAATTTATGAATGAAGGGATCGAATACTATAGTCGTAGAGAAGACTACAATAACATAGCAATGCCCTAAAATACCAAGAGTCTTTAGGCCTTTAGAGAGGCTTCTTGGAGTTAGGGTTTGGGTTTTGGAATACTATGCGTTACTACTGTTTTGGTTCTGGGTTCCAATCTTCTTCCAGGGTTTACTCCTTACTCCAAAGTAGGGGCATGTTTGGGGGGGAGGGGGCCGAGCTCGCGCTCGTTTCGTTGATGGGCAGGCATGTCGCTCAGGAAGCGGTCTCCAAGTGCCAAGTGCCACATGTTCGAAGCAAGTAAGAGTAAAGAGTAAGAGAGAAAGAAGCCCCTAAACCCTAAACCCTAAGCCCTAAACCCTAAAGCCTAAACCCCAAACCTTGAACCGCAGACCCTAAACCCTAAGCCCAGGAGAAGCGAGTCGGGGGGGGGGGGGGGGGGGCAGCGCCGAAAGGCTGGCAGCAATGTGGGGCAAGGTCAGGCCCACCCCCCTCCAGCCCCCACCATGGGGGTTGAAATTCCCCAAACCCTAAACCCTAAACCCTAAACCCTAAACCCTAAACCCTAAACCCTAAACCCTAAACCCTAAACCCTAAACCCTAAACCCTAAACCCTAAACCCTAAACCCTAAACCCTAGACCCTAGACCCTAGACCCTAGACCCTAAACCCTAAGCCCTAAACCCTAAACCCTCAACCCCAAACCCTAACCTTGAACCCGAAACCCTAAAGGATCATATGGGCAGTTCTCAAAGTTATGATCCCTTCTTGTGTGCCCTAAATAAGTAGGGCCCATTATAAAAGGACCCTGACTTAGAGATGTCACCATCTGTGGCTCAGAGGTTTTTGAAGGCTAAAGAATATCGCCCAAGATCATGATAAAGATTTTTAGCTTTTGGGTGTAATTCAGCTCCTCAATTTGGGTCTCAGCGGGTACGGGTTCAGACCAGGTTACTTGAGGTTCATGGGTAGTTCTAAGTAGAGTTATAGGTAACTTTTCCTATAACCCCCCCACTTATGACTGCCCATGAGCCTCCGAGTGGGATCCCTAAACCCTAAACCCTAAGCCCTAAACCCCCTAAGCCCTCAGCCCTAAGCTCTAAACCCCAAAACCCTAAACCCTGAGCCCTAAGCTCTAAACCCAAACACCCTAAACCCTGAGCCCTAAACCCTAAACCCCAAAACCCTAAACCCCAAGCCCTAAACCCTAAACCCCAAAACCCTAAACCCCCAGCGCTAAACCCTAAACCCCAAGCCCTAAACCCTAAACCCTAAACCCTAAACCCTAAACCCTAAACCCTAAACCCTAAACCCTAAACCCTAAACCCTAAACCCTAAACCCTAAACCCTAAACCCTAAACCCTGAACCCTAAACCCTGAACCCTAAACCCTAAACCCCAAAACCCTAAACCCCAAGCCCAAAACCCCAAGCCTTAAACCCAGGTTTCAACTCGCTGCTGGCGGCCCTGGGCTTGGATGGGCGGTGGCGCTGGGCCCTGGCCTGCGCGGGGCAGATGCCGCCGGGAGCCCAGGGAATCGCTGCCAGTCCTAAGCTCCTTTTAGTAGGGTTCGGGTTTAGGGTTCAGCAGCTCCGGATCGAGCAGATTTACGGCTCGGATATAACACCCACCCACCCAGAGAATCCCATAACATTAAGAAACCAAAAAGTATCTTCGTACAAAAGTTGGGGTGCCCACGTGCCTTGCCCACGATTTTTTGTGCCTTGCCCACGAACTTTTGTGCCTTGCCCACGAAGTTTTGTGCCTTGCCCACCAATTTTTGTGCCTTGCCCAGAAATTCTGTGCCTTGCCCACCAAATTTTTGTGCATTGCCCACGGAATTTTGGTGCCTTGCCCACCAATTTTTGTGCCTTGCCCACGAATTTTGGCGCCTTGCCGACGATTTTTTGTGCCTTGCCACCAATTTGTGTGCCCGAAAAGTCGTGGCCACGAATTTTTGTGCCTTGCCGGGCGGGGGGGGGGGGGCTGGGGGGGGTGGGGGCGGGCTGGGGCGGGGTGGGGTGGGTGGGGGGGGTTTGTGCCTTGCCCACGAATTTTTGTGCCTTGCCCACGAATTTCGGTGCCTTGCCCACGAATTTTTGTGCCTTGCCCACGAATTTTGATGAATTTTGGTGCCTTGCCCACGAATTTTTGTGCCTTGCCCATGAAACTTTGGTGCCTTGCCCACGAGTTTTTGTGCCTGGCCCCCAATTTGTGTGCCCGAAAATTCGTGGGCAAGGCACAAAATTTCGTGGGCAAAGGCACAAATATTCGTGGGCAAGGCACAAGATTCGTGGGCAAGGCACAAAATTCGTGGACAAGGCACATTTTGGGGTTTTAAGCCTTGCCCAAGGGCCCAAAAATCCGAAACGTGCCTTGCCCACGAATTTTTGTGCCTGGCCCACGAATTTTTGTACCTTGCCCACGAAATCTTGTGCCTTGCCCACGAATTTTTGTGCCTTTGCCCACGAAACCCATTAGGGTTTATATATATATATATATATATATATATGGTACCCCCCCAAAGATCTACCGTTTCCCACCTTTTTTCAACAATGAAACAAAATCCGTCTGCTTCATAGTGAATTTTCGCAATGCAATAAAATCCGTCTGCCTCACAATGATAATGCCCACGACGACATTCAGAACTCTCTGCAAAGATTTCGAAAGCCGGCCGTTTCAATTGAAACGTTTCTGTTTCAATTGAAACGGCCGGGATCCAAGATCCAAGATCCAAGATTTCACAGGACTCTTGCCGAGGCATCTTGCAATCCCATATCTTGGATTCTGCCCGTTTCAATTGACATGTTTCCGTTTCAATTGAAACGGCCGGTTTTGGATTTAGGATTCCAAGATGCCTCGGCAAGAATCCTGGGAAATCTTGGATCTTGGATCTTGGATCCCGGCCGTTTCAATTGAAACGTTTCCGTTTCAATTGAAACGGCCGGGATCCAAGATCCAAGATCCAAGATTTCCCAGGACTCTTGCCGAGGCATCTTGGAATCCCATATCCTGGATTCTGCCCGTTTCAATTGACATATTTCCGTTTCAATTGAAACGGCCGGTTTTGGATTTAGGATTCCAAGATGCCTCGGCAAGAGTCCTGGGAAATCTTAGATCTTGGATCTTGGATCCCGGCCGTTTCAATTGAAACGGAAATGTTTCAATTGAAACGGCCGGTTTTCGAGATCTAGGATTCCAAGATGCCTCAGCAAGAGTTCAGGGAAATCTTAGATCTTGGATCTTGGATCCCGGCCGTTTCAATTGAAACGGAAACGTTTCAATTGTTGAACTTCAAAACTCCGGGTTCCAGGATTCAAGATCCCGTGGAAACTTTTCCTGCAATCTTGAATCTTGAATCTTGGATCCCGGAGTTTTGAAGCTCAAAACTCTAGATTGAAGTTCAAAACTCACGGAACCCCATAGGGCTAAGGTTTGAAGGTTTAGGGCTTCAGGTTGAGGCATTAGAACCTGAGCCGGCAATTAAAACTAAACCCTTAACCTTTAAACCCTATAGGGTTAAGGTGTTAAGGTTTAGGGTTTACGATTTAGGCATTCAAACTTGAGCCGGTAGTTCAGCCTAAACTCTCGACCTTTAAACCCTATAGGGTTAAGGTTTCAAGGCTTAGGGCTCAAGATTTAGTCATTTAAAGCTAAGCCCATAGAGTTTAAACCTCAAGGGTTTAAGGTTTATAGGTATGAAAACATGAACCCTAAACCCTCTAGGGGTCTAAAAGGTTCAAGGGTGTTCAGCCCACAGGCGCTGAAGGTATAAATGCCCAGACCTTGGGTACATCAGGTTTAGGCATTGAAACCTTGAAGCCCTATAAGGGTTTTTAAAGGTTTAAGGTCTGGGGATTGAAACCTAGGTTTGGGCATTCAAACTGGTTTAAGCCTTAATCCCTGTAGGGCTAGGTATTTAAACCGAATAGCTTACCTTGAAACGCTATAGGTTTAAAGGTTGAGGTTCAAAACCTTTAAGCCTCTGGGGTTTAAAGGTTTAGGTTTTTGCAGAGTTTGTCTACCCTATTCGGGGTAGCCCTATAGGGTTTTAACCCTATAGGGGTTCAAGGTTCAGGGTTTAAGAGGGCATTGCAACAACCCAACCCTAAACCCTCAGGGATTGAACCCCTTTACTGTTATCCTTAAGCCTTAAAGCATATAGGGCTTAGGGTTATAACGCTGAAGAACCCTCAGGGATTTAACCCCTTTACTGCTTTCCTTAAGGCTGAAAGCATGAACGGTTTAGGGTTATAACGCTGAAGAACCCTCAGGGGTTTAACCCCTTTACTGTTTTCCTTAAGCCTTAAGGCATATAGGGTGTAGGGTTATCAAGTTATCACGCTGAAGGTATAAATGCCCAGACCTTAGGTACATCAGGCTTAGGCATTAAAACCTTTAAGCCCTATAAGGTTGTTAAAGGTTTAAGGTCAAGCCTTAAACCCTATAGGGCCCTAGAGGGTTACGGTTTTTTCAGGGTTTATCAACCCTAAACGCTATGAGGGGTTAAAGGTTTAGGGTTGAAGGTTCAGGGCATTGTAAAAACATAACCCTAAACCCTCAGGGATTGAACCACTTTACTGTTTTCCTTAAGCCTTCAGGCATACAGAGTTTAGGGTTATAACGCTAAAATCTATAGGATTAGCACCTTATACCCCTACATATTGAAGGCCTTGAGGCCTAAATCCTAAACGTAAATCCCATAGAGTTCTGCCTATGTTTGTAGGCCTCGCCTCCTGTGGAAATGCAAAGGAAAAGTAGAATAAGTACCCACTGCATGTATGTATATAGGGTATATGTATTGCATATCAAATACAGATAATGGAGATCCTCGAACCATAAGACTAGGAAGTATTCGAGCGCAAAAGGTGATGCGGAAAAATCATGTACTGTAAGCCCCAGGGACGCGAGAATACTATGAGCAAAGACCTTTTCACTATTTCCCTCTTAATTGCCGGTTCGGTGTCTTGGGTCGGTGCAGGATCGGTTAGCTATTGTTACGAGGGACTAGATCGGAAGGGATTCTGGACAGTAAAAGCATTAAAAAAGGGTAGATCTCTGGGGGGGGGGGGGGGGAAGCATATATATATATATATAGAAAGAGAGGTTTAGGGTTTAGGGTTTAGGGTTTAGGGTTTAGGGTTTAGGGTTTAGGGTTTTGGGTTTTGGGTTTTGGGTTTTGGGTTTTGGGTTTTGGGAACCCTCAACCCTAAACCCTAAACCCTAAACCCCATAAATACTAATAAGCTTATAGCCCCGCATAATATTATAAATAAGGGGTGAAAAGTGTGCGTTTATAATAATGTTGCACCCGCAATATACTAGGGGGACGCTAGTATGAAAAGTTTTTCGGCTATTCAGGATCTTGGCCCTTTGTTTTGGGGGTCCGCTATAATGTAAAGTTTTCGGGCCGTGACTGTTTTTGTAAATGGTTTTTGAGGTCCAAGTTCTTAGTTTGAGATCTGGTTCCCCTCCTGACCCCTTCCCTGCCTGACTGTTTGGGTTTTTTTTTTATTCAGGGGCCTCGACTGTTTGGGGGGGGGGAGGGCGGGGGTTACAGTATTAAAGCAGGTCCAACATGACTATCACGCGAGTTCGTGCTTCCATTAGAACTCGCTTATAAGAATATGCACGCTTCGTTCTTCTTTCCCATGCACCTATTAGTAGTATTATAATAAGGCAAGTTTACGCACGCTTTCTACCCTAAACGCTAAACCCCAAACTCTAAACCCTAAACCCTAAACCCTGAAACCTAAACCCTAAACCCCAAATCCTAAACCCTAGACCCTAAACCCCAAAGCCCAAACCCCAAACCCCAAACCTACCATTTGCTTACGAACCCCCGACAAAGAAGCATCTTCTTCCTTATAGGTCATTGTTTATTCTTTTGGGGGGGGGGGTTTCTTAAGCAAAGAGCAGGTTTGGGTTTTAGGGCTGAGGGTTTAGGGTTTGGATTCCTAGGATTGATTTGGAATAGATTGTAACGCTTTGTGGGCCCTAATCCCTTTGTAGCCCTATTAACCCATGGAAGTTGTTAAACCCACCCCAGATTTCCCAGAGAACCAAGTACCTCTTCATAGACAGCTCTTAATAAGGATTATAGTACCCGCCAATATAATCCCTATTCAGGACTGTTGGACAAAGGGGGCAACATCCCAACATAAGCCCTACTCGAGGGACAACACGCACACACAGCTCAATCCCAACCCTACACCCCAAACCGCCTGGAAAGCTGTTGCTTTGGCAAGCCTTACCCTCTGAAAATACCGGGTTGAAGCAGGGGGGGCTTGCGACCTTCCTTGTTCGTAGGAGACTTGCCCTGCATGCGATGCGAAATCTATCGAAGAACAAAGCCCTTGGCCCAATAAGAACCCAGAGAGCCCAAAACCCTTCAATTAAGCAATATTTCCTAAAACCATGTGGAAATCCTTAGTATGATTTAAGGACTATTCCTTGATTAAGGGGTATTGGGCCGTTTGGGAACTGCAGAGGCGGCATGAGCTGAGTCCAGACGAGCTGACGCTGGGAGCGTGCATCAGCGCCTGCGCCGTGTGCTGCGGACCCGAGGGCGCCAGGGCTTAGCAAAGCCCCAAGCCCTCAAACCGTCTAAACCCCAAGCCCTGCACCGCATCAACCCTAAGCCCTAAACCCTAAACCCTAAGCCCTAAGCCCTAAACCCTAAACCCTAAACCCTAAACCCTAAACCCTAAACCCTAAACCCTCGACCCCCTAACCTGTCAACCCTCCGTCCTAAGCTACACATCCGAAGCCCTTACAGTAGCTCGTCAGGCCCGATGGAGTCGCCTAGGGTTCAGGTCTTAGGGCTTTGTTGGGATTTTAGGGTTGAGGGTTTAGGTTTTAGGGGCTTGAACAGGATTTTAGGGTTTAGGGTTTTTAGGTTCTAGGGCTTAAATGGGACTTACGGGTTTCGGGTTTTATGACACACTGCGTCGACTCCTGTTTCACTCGCGCCAGACTCAGGCCAAACATGCCTTGCAACGGTTTGGCAAGGAGCAAAATGCCCGCCACCGGAGCCATGTGCTGCCTGCTGGCGGTCACACTTTAGGGTTTTAGGGTTTAGGGTGTAGGGTTTAGGGTTTAGGCATTGAATTTTGTCTTGAGATACTCACTGATAGTCTTTCTTGCCTCAAGTATGTGCGGGGATGCTGCTCGGATGTACCTGCTACATTCGCTTTGCACTGCACGTGTATCACGTCATACCATGTCTAGCGCCGCAAGGAGCTACGCAGTATCTTGAAGTGGGCCTGAAGCAATGGCGGCAAAGGAGCCAGAGCTCTTGATAAGAGCTAAAACCTTCGACCAGATCGACGGCATTGCGGCGAAATGCGTGGCCCTTGGCGTGCCCACCACCTGTGAGCTGGTCGTCGAGATCGCTGATGATCACGATGCCCGGCTGTCGTATCGCCCGCCACTGTCTGAGCAGGTGCCCGGCTCAAGAAGTGCAACACACCAGGGCTTTCGTCTCAGAGACGGACAGGATCAATTCTGCACATGCGATCTGGACCAGCGCCACAAAAGCCAGTTCGACTTGATGCGAGAAAGGAGCTGCCAGCAGGCCCAGGAGCGTTGGCTGGAGGTAACAAAGCTCTACAACCAGCTGGTAGAGAGCGGCGTCTTCCACCACGAGGCCTACAGTGTGCCGGGCGCTGGTGTCCCGCCGGAAGGGTTCGCGACGGACGCCGTGATGCTCGAAGCACGGGCGATGGAGGCAGACCTGACGATGTGTTACTGCAACCTTGGGGGCTGGCAGGACCGCATGAGAGAGATCCGCAGGAAGTATGGACTTTGAGCACGGGCAGGCGGCAAAAGCGAACCTTCTGCATTCGCATTCTTGACCCATTTTTTCGGCCTTTGGGCGCTTGGCTTGCGGGGTTCGTCTGCTTCTGGTGATCCTTATTAATTGTGCCCTAAGGGCTCAGGAATTTCAGGGGCGCCTAGGTCCCTGGCGCATGCTTTCCCTGTCTCCCTTTCCGGATCCGGGCCCGGGAGGTGAGTCCAGACCACGAGAGGCTAATCCGCGGGAATCTCTGTGAAACCCGGTCCGGCTCCAACTCCTGAGCCGTACAGCCCTCATCCTCAAGCCCATAAGCCCCAAACCTTAAGTCCATAAACCCTATAGTCCTCAAACCCAGAAACCGTAGCTCCCAAACCCTAAATTCTGCCAGTCCCGAAGCCGCCATCTGTTGCTGAAGGCCCTCGACCCCCCACAGGGTTTAGGGTTTAGGGTTTAAGGTTTGGGCTCAGGGTTTAGGGTTTAGGGTGTAAGGTTTGGGGCTCAGGGTTTAGGGTACTACTTGGGGTTCATGGGTAGGTATAAGCAGGGTTGAAATTATGGTAACTCCACTTTTTAGCCCAGTTAGGGTACTTATAACCCTACACGTGTACTTATCACTACCCATGAACCTCCAAGCAAGCTTTAAAGTGACAGGTGACACTTTTTGCTTGATTTTTGGGGGTACTGTGATGAACCTCCCAGTGTAATCCCAAACTTGCGAATAGACCCTAAACCCTATAAGCCCTATAAACCCTATAAGCTCTATAAATCCTGTAAACCCTATGAACCCTGCACACCCTGCAACCCCTATAACCCCTATAAACCGTCTAACCCCAAACCCTAAACCCTAAACCCTGAACCTGAAACCCTAAACCCTAAACCCTAAACCCTAAACCCTAAACCCTAAACCCTAAACCCTAAACCCTAAACCCTACACCCTAAACCCTCAGCCCAAATGCGCAGCCCGTGAACAGCCTCCTTGGGGCGGGGGGCTGCGGGAGCGCTGGGGGCCAGCAGCCGCGGGGGCCGCAGCTGCTGGGGTTTAGGGTTTAGGGTTTAGGGTTTGGGATTTAGGGTTTTGGGGTTTAGGGTTTTGGGGGTTTAGGGTTTAGGGTTAGGTTTCAGAGTTTAGGGTTTAGGGTTTAGGGATTAGGGTCTAGGGTTTTGCGTTTACATACGGTTTCGGGTTTCGGGTTTCGGATCCCCGAGAACCCAGAACCCTCTAAAGACCCTGAACCCCTCACCCCTGGGCGCGTAAAAATTGGCTAAGGCCTGCATTCTCCATAGGGCTAGGACCCGGAGTAGGTCCTTATTTACTTTTTTTTGGGTTGCCCTTATAATCCCCTTAAAACCCAAAAAATCTACTAGTAGGGCACCTTTCGGTCTTTCTACGGATGTTCGGCCTAATCTTTCAGCCTGAAGTTTGGGGTGTGGGGTTTTAGGGTTTGGGGTTTGGGGTTCTGGCTTCAGTCCGGAGTGTCGGGTTCGTGGCTTTAGGATTCTGGCTTTTTTGGTTTAAGGGTTCGAGGGTGGAGGGGAAATCGACTCCTTACACTCAACATGAGGCCCCCCTGTCCATGTAGTTTAAGGTCAATTTCCTAGTTGAGGGGTCTTGGGCTCCCTGCGTCTGTTGGGGGAAGCCAAGAGGTTGTTTTTAACTCTTGTCTACTATTTCCTTAAGAAGCACCAAACAACTCAAGATGTGATCCCTTATAAGGGCAGTGTAGGATTTTTTTATACTTTCGGGGGTACTTAAGCAAATAGTAGTTGTAGATTCAGCAATCGCGCTCAGGGCGAAAGTGCAGGCAAGGAAGGCAAAACCACTCAACCATTGCAGCCCAATGCCCTCCTTCTCATGCTTACATCACCATGCCCTTTCGCCCTCAGGCAAGAGGAGCACTAAACCCTAAACCCTAAACCCTAAACCCTAAACCCTAAACCCTAAACCCTAAACCCTAAACCCTAAACCCTAAACCCTAAACCCTAAACCCTAAACCCTAAACCTAAACCCTATACCCAAAACCCTAAACCCTAAGCCTACAGCAATACAGAGCTACCCAACCTTGGACCCCGAACGGCTCCCTCTCTCTCTCTCTCTCGCTTGCTCTTTGCTTGGAGCTTCATGGTACTTATTAACCAATTACTCTAATATCTGTACTTATATAGCTGCACTTATAACCACAGTAGGGCCTTTGAGGGGCTTATGAGTGGGGTAGAAGCACAGGTATATTTGTTTAGTAAGCAACATGAACCTCCAAGTGCTTTGTGGCTTGCCAAGGACGTGGCGAGCTGGGAACAGCGGCTTGGGTAGCGACTCCACAAGCGAGTGGTACAGGTTCATGCTTAGGGCAAAGTGTAGTGCTTTAGTGTAGTGCTTTCAGCGCTTTGGGTTCTTGACTCTTGACTTTTGGACAACTTAGACGGTCCACGCAAGTAGATTGCACCTCCGCAGGATGCAGTTCCAGCCCGTACCACTTCCACGCCACCCGTGCCAGAGCCTTGAACCCAAATCCTTGTTTAGCAGACACAGAGACCCGAATACACTCCTAGCCGCCTCTCGCCAGAAGACTTGGCCTAGCTAGGCCCCAACCCCAAAGCCCCGACCCCGTAACCCACGAGCCCTAAGCACTTAAGCCCGAAGCCCCCAACTGAGCCGGACCCAATCCCCAAACCCCATACCCCAAACGCTAAACCGTAAACCCTAAACCCTAAACCCTAAACCCAAAACCCTAAACCCTCAACCCTAAACCCTTAACCCTAAACCCCCAGTCTGCCATGGGGACGATGTGAGCCTCCGAAGCTCCACGATCGCGCAGAACCAGCCTTCGCCCCAGCTTCTCCCGAGCTGAGACATCAGTGGGGTTCAGAAGTAGGTATGTACGTGCCCTAGTAGGGTTCTGGGTGCCCTAAATAGGGTTATAGGTGGGGTGTATCAGTGCCCTGAGTAGGGCTGTCAGCCTTAAAAAAGTGCCCTAAGTAGGGTTGTAAGTAGGTTTACCATCCCTAAACCCTAAACCCTAAACCCTAAACCCTGAACTCTAAACCCTAAACCCTACTTAGAACTAGCCATGAACCTCCAAGTAGGGTCTGGGGTTTTGGAGCCTTCGGTCGAGGGAGGGACCTCGGTTCGGTGCAGTTTCGGGTTTGGGGTCGAGGGGCTGTTTGGGGGTTTTGTGCTTGCATTTTAGGGTTTAGGGTTTAGGAATTAGGGTTTCGGGTTTAGGGTTTAGGGTTTAGGGGGCTTTGGGTGGTTGCGGCCTCAGAGTGTCTGGGCTTGGGGCTGGCGGGCTTTGGACCCCAAACCTTGGCTGGGAGGGCTTCCTTTCTGGGCGTTTCAGTTGAGCACCTCTCAGCATCGTCACCTGTTTAGGGTTTAGGGTTTAGGGTTTAGGGTTTAGGGTTTAGGGTTTAGGGTTTAGGGTTTAGGGATGTGCTGCCTTCCCCCCCACAGGCAGAGGTATCTTCATGGACTAGATGGAGCACTCATCTTCCTGGCTCCGTAGAGTGTTGGAGGGTTTAGGGTTTAGGGTTTAGGGTTTAGGGTTTAGGCTTTAGGCTTTAGGCTTCAGGGTTTGGGCTTTAGGCTTTAGGCTTTAGGCTTTAGGCTTCAGGCTTTAGGCTTTAGGCTTTAGGCTTTAGGCTTTAGGCTTTAGGCTTTAGGCTTTAGGGTTTAGGGTTGGTCTGGTGCAAGCTAGGGTCGCACCAGCTTCTGCCCCAACCTGGTGTCTCGCTTGAGGGGCTTTGCGGAGCTACACCCCAGGCTGGCGGGGGCGGGCTGCGCTTTCGCAACGAAAACGTACCCTAAACCCTAACCCTGGTTTAGGGTTTAGGGTTTAGGGTTTGGGGTTTAGGGTTTAGGGTTTAGGTCCCCAACGCTCATGCACTAAACCCATCGGAACTTGCTTAGAGCGACGACTGTTTGTTTAGAATCCTCATTTTTATCTATAGCTCTCGGCTTTGCCCTAGTTATACTCTAGTCTTCTTCAGGAATTCTGTTTCAGTTCTGTGTTTAAACCCATCGTAGTAATAACAAGAATATTGAGACTCTTGACTATTCTTGCGTATGCTTGTTGATTACTAATGTGGCTCTAACCCTAAATTCTAAACCCTAAACCCTAAACCCTAAACCCTACACCCTAAACCCTAAACCCTAAACCCTAAAATTCCCGAAGGGGGGGATAGTACGAGGTTTTGCAGCTTCGGGTCCAGGCTTCCCGAGTCGGTTGATAGGGTTTAGGGTTTAGGGTTTTGGGGTTTAGGGTTTAGGGCTAAACCCTAAACCCAAAGCTGTTTTACTCCAAAGACCGTAGTTTATCCCAGCCCCCACACCTCCGGAACCCCCTCCTGAACTAGGGGAGGTTGTTCTAGTCAAAGGAAGCAAACTCGGATCCCCAAGACAGCTTCCCTAAACGTACTCCTAACGTGGCCCTTATATTCTCTCGGAGGATCTTCAAAAAGGCCCGCAAACCCACGGGTACAATCTTAGAGGGTCCGAGGTAGAGTCCTATGATGAGAGATGGTCAGTGCAAAAGTTCCTGCATCATGGTAATGCATTAAGCTGCTGAACAAAACCCAGATTCGAGGACGGTTGAGCTAGGGCTTACAGGGTTTCGGCTTGGGGGATTTATGGTTCGGGGTTGAGGGCCAAGTTTAGGGCCAAGGATTTAGCTGGCGCAGACCCTAAATTTACTAAACCTTAAAAAACCTTCCCCCAGCAGCGTTTATGTTCGGGTTCGGGTTTGGGGGTTAAGGTTCAGGATTTGGGGTGCAGTAGACGTAACCCTAAGCCCAAGGTCGGAACCCTGAACCCTAACCCGTCAGGTTCGTCCCTAAACCCTAAACCCTAAACCCTAAACCCTAAACCCTAAACCCTAAACCCTAAACCCTAAACCCTAAACCCTAAACCCTAAACCCTAAACCCTAAAACCTAAACCCTAAACCCTAAACCCTAAACCCTAAACCCTAAACCCTAAACCCTAAACCCTAAACCCTAAACCCTAAACCCTAAACCCTAA